TAGACCTCATCAGTATAACCTCATCATAGTGATAGAGTTTACAACACATAAGGAAATCACATATAACTTCATCATAGTGATAGAGTTTACAACACATTAGGAAATCACTTCAGATTACAAAATGGTACATAGTCATACAATACGGGGAATCATGACCCAGCCAAATTGACAGATATTTTGGTGGGACATAATTCAATCCATGACAACATTCTATAAGTTTCCAGCCATTGTGTTTTGTTTACATTTGTCTCTAAGTATTTTCTACTTTCCTTTGTGATTTCTTCTTTGACCCCTTGGTTGTTTAAAAGTATGTTGTGTAATTTCCACTCGTTTGTGAATTTTCCAGTATTCCTTTTGTTATTGATTCCTTGTGTGCTTTCATTGTGTTTGGAGAAGTTGTGTTGTATGATTTCAGTCTTTTTAAACTTACCGAGACCTGTTTTGTGGCCTAACATATGGTCTATCCTGGAGAATGTCCATGTGCACTTGAGATGAATGTGTATTTTGCTGTCGTCAGCTTGAGTGCTCTGTTTAAGTCTGTTATGTCTAGTTGGTTTATAGTATTGTTCAAGTCCTCCATTTCCTTATTGATATTCTATTAAATGAATAATTTATGAGGTTCAGCACAAAGCTGGTTCCTATGAGGCAGGGGCTAAAGATGTCCCAAATGTCCAACTTTTCCAAGCAGCTATACCACTCCATCATCTCTAACATCAACTACTCCCACTCCCCTTAGTACTCTCCCTCCTGTCTTTGGGTTCCCTAGTTCGCTGCAATGTCTCACAAAACTCAAGAACTGTATAAAGGAAATGGCTCATGCGGTTGTGGAGGCTGGCAAGTCCCAAATTCGTGGGTCAGCATAGGCTTCTCCCTGGTCCTCAGTCTCTGCCCAAAGGCACTCAGCTTTCTTGCTCCGTGGGCTGGGAAGCCCACTGCGCCATCTCCTGCCGGTCGCTCCTGCCGGTCTCTCCTGCCAGTCTCTCCTTCCTTGGTGGTGGTAGGCTCTCCTTTCTGGTCTGGAATTCGCTCTCTTTTAAGGCAAAACTGACCAGTCCCTTTGATGGGCCATAATTATCTTATTTGCACAGCCTTGCCCAGTCACCTGGGTGGGAGTTACAAGAACATGACGAGAAAGGCCGTACTAAGTAATTCATCACACTGCATCTGTAAATATAATAATGTATATAATGTATAGTCATTCTATACATTATTGAAAGTGAGTTATTGAAGTCTGAATTTTTGCTCAATATGTAATTGTTGCATGTAATTTACAAGTAAAATTGTTAAATCTTCTTGATGTATTGACCCTTTCATCAGTATACATATGTTTTCGTTTATAACAATTTTTGACTTAAAGTCTATTGTGTCTTATATTAGTGTAGCTATTCCAGTGCATTTTTGGTTACTATTTGTGGGGAACATCTTTTTCCATTTATTTTTCTTTCAATCTAATTGTGTCTTTGGATCTGAAGTGAACCTCTTGTAGACAACATATAATTGATTCATGTATTTTTTTTAATCCATTTTCCAATCTCTCTTTTCATTGGATAATTTTAATCTCTTAACATTTAAAGTAATTACTGATAATGAAGGATTTCTGCCTTTTTACTCTTCACTGTCTATATAATTTATACAATTTTTGTTCCTCAATCCTTCCATTTCTACTTTCTTTTGTGTTTGATTTTTCCTTATGTTTCTTGCATTTATTAATTCCTTTCTAGTTTATTTTTCTACATTTTTTAAGTTATTTTCTTAGTGATTACCCAAGAGATTACAATTCCCTCTTACGTTGTTATTGTCACAAATTCCATCTTTATACGTTGTACGTCTGTAAACATAGATTTATAATGATCATTTTATGTATTTGTCTTTTAAATCATGTAGGTAAAAAAGAGAAGTTACAAACAAACCAAAATAATAATATAAAAGCATTATATTATATAAAATATAATAATATAAAAGCATTTTATATTTACCTACTTAGTTACGTTTACAGGTGTACTTTATTCTTCATTTAGCTTTGAGTTACTGTTGAGTTTCTTGTCATTTCAGCCTGAAAGACTCCCTTTAATATTTCTTGTAGGGCAAATCTGCTACTGACAAACTCCCTCAGCTTCTGTTTATCTAGGAATATCTTAATTTCTCCTTCATTTTTGAAATATTGCTTTGCTAAATACAGAATTTTTGATTGACATTTCTTTTCTTTCAACATTTTAAATGGGCCATTCCACTGTCTCTCACTTCCTTGGTGTTCTATGGAAATCAGCTATTAGTCTTAGTGAGAATCCTCTTTACATAGCAAGTTTCTTCTCTTTTGCTTTTTTCAAGATTCTCTCTTTGTTTTTAACTCTCAGCCATTTTATTATAATGAGTCTAGGTGTGGATCTTTTTGAGTTTTTCCTCATTTGAATTTGTTGAGCTTCTTGCATATGTAGGTTCATGTATTTCATCACCTTTGGGATATTTTAGACTATTGTTTCTTCCATTGTTCTTTCTGCCCCTTTCTCTTTCTTCTCTCCTTTGGGGATTCCCATAATGTGTCTGTTAGTACAGTTGATGGTATTCCACAGGTTTTTAGGCTCTATTCATTTTTCTTCATTCTTTGTTCTTTCTCAAGCAGGGATAATATCTATTGACCTGTCTTTAAGATCATTGATACTTTCTTCCGCGTGTTCAAATTTACTGTTGAGCCTTTCAGGTGAATTTTTTATTTTATTGTATATTTTTAGCTCAAGAATTTCTGTTTGGTTCCTGTTTATAATTTGTTGTTGTTGTAGGTGCCATCAAGTTCGTTCTAACTCATAGTGATCCTGTGTATGACAAACCAAAACGCTACCCAGTCCTGCGCCATCTTCACAGTCATTGCTATTTGAGTCCATTGTTGCAGCCACTGTGTCAGTCCATCTCACTGAGGGTCTTCCACTTTGTTGCTGACCCTCTACTTTACCAAGTATGATGTCCTTCTCCAGGGACTGGTCCCTCCTGATAACATGTCCAAAGTCATGAGGCGAACTCTGCTGTCCTCCCTTCTAAGGAGGATCTGGCTGTACTTCTTCCAAGACAGACTTTTTGTTCTTCTAGCAGTCCATGGTATATTTAGAATTTAATACTCTTGTTTTAAATTTTTTGGTCTACTAAGTCCATTGTCTGGGTTTCCTCAAGGATAATTTCTGTCACTTTATTTTGTTCTTTTGAATGGGCCATCCTTTCCTGTTCCCTTATATGCCTTGTGATTTTTTTAAAAACTTATAATTTGAATATTATAACGCGCTAACTCTAGAAATCAGATTCTCCCCTTTTGTAGGGTTTGCTTTTTTTTATTGATTGTTGAAGTCTGTAGTAGTCCATTTGATTACTGATGTCCCCTAAGTATTTTTGTAAAGATTTCCTTCCTTCCTGGTTGTATGTGGTCATTGAAGACTCTTCTCCTTATTTTGTGTTCAACTAGTGTTTTGACGGAGATTTCCTTGAATGCTGGCAGGGGATGAAACAAAAACAGAAGACAAAAAACCACCATTCCCAAGCCTGCGTGGATTGACTGTGTATCAGAGTACTCCTTCAGCACTTCCCAGGCTTTCACTGAGCCTAAGGATAAGCCCAAAGTGAAAAGTGTGGTGTCTTCTCGGGTATTTTCTGAGCACGCGTTTCGCCTTGGTCATGCATGTAGCTTTCTCAATACCGTCATATGTGCAGGTGCTTTTGAATGTCCTAATTTCTCAGAGAAATTCTCCCAGTTTTTGCTCCCAGGCCTGAGTCCTTCTGTTGTATGTTTCAACTGTAATCTTTTACCCCAGGCAACTGCAGGTGTTGGTTCAGCTTGCAGTTTTCTCAAGCAATGCCCATGTCTTTTCCAGCCTAAGTTCTGAGTCAGACAAAACAGAGACAAGCTCCTTGTGTCAGTCCTTTGAGAAGTCCCCAGACAGGTTAGAACAGACTTACACAATAATTTTTGAGTAAGTTCTACTTTGCTCCCTGTGGAGCCAGGTAGGAGGATCGTTCTCTGGGAATGCAGCTTTAAAGTTTTAAGGCTGCCACTAAGCCAGGGAGCCGGTGGGGATGGACAAGTAGAAAATGCCACAAAGCTTTCTTAGTGCTTTGAAGTCACCTTTTTCTTAATTCAGCATTTGCTTGTCTGCTGTAAAACTTTTACTGGTTTCCAGAGTTCTAACAAAGTCGGCTTTCCAGTTTATGCTTGTTTGGTGTTTCTGTGGCAGGACAAGAGTGTGGAGCTGCTTACACTGTGACCTTGCTTGCCATATGGTACTTTTAATAGTCATATATAACTCCTCTTAATAGCCATATAATAGTATTTTATATTAATATACTGTAGTTAGTCATTTTTTGGTTGCGTATTGAATATTTGTCTTCTATAAAGTGAAATAACCTTATTATGGACATCTTTGAATACAGTTGTCCAGTTTGGAGTATATTTTTAAATATACTTTTCAAAAATATGTTTTCATATATACTTTTTCAGTAGAATAAATAAGTCATAAGGTTTTAATGGTATTATAAATGCTTTTTCACTCATCACCAAATATTTCACCATAAAATCTGGACCATATGTCACTGTAGTGCATAAATATTATGTAAGTATTACTGTTTCTTGAGAAAAGGATCCTATCATCTGGATCTTTTTTTTTTTTGTAATTATCTACATATGGTTTACAAATACGGTAACTGGCTGATTGCAGTGCTGAAATATTGGAATACAACAAATTATTTTAATACTTTATTATCTATATAACTCATAAGCACTGTATAAAATTAGATTATATAAGTTAAAAAGCAAAGAGAAAGAAAACAAAAAGATAACTAATCCCATTACCCAGAGACAACTACTAATTTTTTCTTCCAAAACTATTTCTCTGTAGTAGATAGTGATAACTCTTTTGAGTAATCCATAAGTAGACTACAAATCTGAGGTGCTGGTTTACAATGTGTTGTTAATGTTCCCTCACCAAAGCTAAGCTTCTGTCATGTCTTCTGCTTAATTCTAGGTCTTTATCCTCCTACCAGAGGAAAGGCTTATATTAATGGATTTGACATCTCAAAGAACATGGCTCAGATTCGAAAAAGTTTGGGCTTCTGCCCACAGCATGACTTGTTGTTTAATGACTTGACACTATCAGAACACCTTTTTTTCTACTGTGTGGTGAGTTAGAGATAAGTTTGATTTTTGTTTGTTTGTTTGTTTATTTTTTAAATTATCATACAGTAAGTTTGACTTTTTTATGTGCAAATCTATGAATTCTAATACACATATAGATTAGTGTAACCAACACCACAATCAGGACACAGAACAGTTCTGTCACCCCAAAAAGCTTTCCTATGCTATTCCTTTATAGTCATACCTCTCCCCACCTATAATGCCTTGTAACAACTGATCTCTCCTCTGTCACTGTAGTTTTGTCTTTTTCAGAATGCCATGTGAATGGAGTCATGCAGTATGTAACCTTTTGAGATTGGTTTCTTTCACTCAGGATAATGCCTTTGAGATTTATCCAGGCTATTTCATGTGTCAGGAGTTTGTTCCTTTTAATTGCTGAATAGTAGCCCAGGTTTGGATGTATCACAGTTTACCAAGTGAAGGACGTTTGGGTTATTTCCAATTTTGTTGTTTATGAATAAAGCTGCTATGAATATGCATGTACATTTTATGCGGTAACATAAGTTTTCATTCCTCTAGGAATAGAAGGGGCCCTGGTGGCATAGTGGTTAAGAGCTCAGCTGCTAAGCAAAAGGTGAGCAGTTCAGATCCACCAGCTGCTCCTTGGAAACCCTGTGGGGCAGTTCTGCTCTGTCCTATAGGAACGTTAATGAGTAGGAATTGACTCGACAGCAACGGGTTTGGGTCTTTTGGTTTTACGAGTAGAATTACTGGATCTTATGGTAAGTGTTTGTTTTACTTTATAAGAAACCACCAAACTGTTTCCTAGGGTAGCTGTAGCATTTTCATGCCTAGCAGCAATGGATGAGAGTATTATCAGTATTTTTTTTTTTATTTTAGCTATTCTGATTGGTTTATAGTGGCATCTACTCATGTTTTTAATTTGCATTTCACAAATGGCTAATAAGGTTGAACAATCTTTTCATGTGCTTATTTCCCATTCTTATATCCTCTTTGAGGAAATGTTTGTTCAAGGCCTTTGCTCGTTTTTCATTTGGGTTGTTTGCTTTCTTGTTGTTGATTTTTTGAGCATTCTTTATATATTCTGGATACATATCAGTTGTTTGATAATACGGTTTTCAAATATTTTTTTCCCAAAATGAAACATGTCTTTTCATTATCTTGACAGTGTCTTTGCCAGAGCAAAAGTTTTTAATATTTATGAAGTCCAATTTATCACATTTTTCTATTATATGTCATGCTTTTGCTGTCTTTTCTAAAGAATGATACATATAAACCTAGGACAGAAGATTTTCTTCTAAAATTTTTTAGTTTTACTGTTACATTTAGAGCTATGACCTATTTTGAGTTAAAATTAAGGTTTATGGTCATATTTTACACATAATTATTCTAACACTAATTTTTTTTTTAAACACTGTTCTTTCATCCTTGCATTGCTTTTGCACAATTTATCAAAGATTAAATGGCCATATTTCTGTGGATCTATTTCTGAACTCACTTTTCTGTTCCATTGATCTATGTGCCTATCCGTTTGCAAATATCACACTGTTCTGATTACTGTACATTTATGGTAAGTGTTAAAATAACCCACTCCCATTGAGACGATTCTGACACATGGCAACTCTGCGTGTTACAGCATAGAACTACCCCATAGAGTTTTCTTGGCTGTAATCTTTACGGAAGCAGTTTGCCAAGCCTTTCTTCTGCAGAGCCACGGAGTAAGTTCAAACCGCCAACCTTTAGGTTCACCCAATTGCAAACAAATTGCGCCATCCAAGAACCTAATTTACAATAGAATAATTCTGTTTCTCCAAATTTGTTATTCTTTTTCAAAAGTAGTTTAGCTCTTCTAGCTGCTTTGCTATTCCCAGAAAAATTTTAGAATCATTTTTTCTGTATCTACAAAAGTTCTGTGATATTCATTGGTATTGCATTACGTTATCTATAGATAACTTCGGAGAGAATTGAAATTGTTATTGCCTTGAGTCTTCAAAACTTTCAACACAGTATCTCTCTCCATTAACTTAGACCTTTGATTTCTTTTCTCTGCATTTTCTAGTTTCTAGCATATAGATCCAATACCTGTTTCATTAGATTTACACATAAGTATTTATTATTTGGAGGTATTGTAAATGCATTCATAAAGTTTCAGTTTCTAGTTTTTAATTCCTTGTTCATACAAAAACGATTGATACTTGTGTGTTGACTTTTTATCCTATGACCTGCTAAGCTCAGTTATTATTTTTGTAAAGTTTTCTTTTCTTTTTTTTTTTTGTAGAGTCCCCTGGTTTTACAGATGGACAATCATATTGTCTGAGGATAGGGACAGTTTAATTTGTTTCCTGCCAATGTGTATGCCTTTTATTTCCTTTTCTTTCCTTATTTCACTGGCTAGGATCTCCAGTAAGACATTGAATATGATTAGTGAGTGTGGGCACCTTGCTTAGTTCCTGTCTCAGGACAAAAGCATTGAGTCTTTTACAATTAAAAATGTTTTTGTTTTTGTTTTTTTTTTTAGTAGATACCCTTTATCACCTTGAGGAAATTTCCTTCTGTTCCCAGTTTGCTGAGAATTTTTATCATGAATTGATTAATTTACTAATATGATTATGTAGTTTTTCTTCTTTAGACTGTTAACATGGTTTATTACAATGATTAATTTTCAAATACTAAACCAGGCTCAAATTCCTGCAGTAAACCCCACTTGGTCATGCTTTTTTATACATTGCTATATTTGATTTGATATTTTGTTCAGTACTTTTGTTGATGAGGGATATGAGTCTGTACTTTATTGTTTGTCATGTTCTGGTAGCTAGATAGTTCCAACCTCGTAAAATGAGTTGGAAAGTGTTTTCTCCTATTTTCTGGAAGAAATTATGTAGAATTGGTTTATTCTTTAAATGCTAGGTCAAATTCATCATTAAAATCATGTGAACTTCAGAGATTAGTTGGTTTTGAATGTTTTTGACTACAAATTCAATGTATTTAATCGTTACAGGAATGTTCAGGTAGTTTATTTCATCTTGGATGAGCTGTGGTACTTTGTGATTTTTGAGGAGTTGGTCCATTTCATCTAAGTTGCTGAATTCATGTGAAAAATTATTTGTAGTGTTTCTTTATTATCCTTTTAACATCTGTGGAGTCTGTAGTAATATACTCTCTCTTCTTCCTGATATTGGTAGTTTGTGTTTCTTTTTTTTGTCATTCTTCCTAGAGGTTTATCAATTTTAACAATCTTTCTAGAGACTCAACATTTGGTTTCATTGGTTTTCTATTATGTTTCAGTTTTTAATTCCATTAATTTATACTTGTATGCTTATTATTTTCTTCCTTCTACTTTTTTTTTCTTCTTTTTTCTAGTTTCTTAAGGTGGGAGCTTAGATAAATGACTTGAGGCATTTCTGATTACCAGTGTAAGCATTTATTGCTATGATTTTTCTTCTAAGCACTGTTTTAGCTGCATCCCACAAATTTTGTTATATGTTGTATTTTCATTTTTGTTCACTTCAAAATATTCTGTTTTCCTTGAGAATTCCTATATGATTCATAGATTATTTATGAATATTTTCTTTGATGGCCAAGTGATGGAAGGTTGTCTGTTTTCCTTCTGTTTTTCAGAGACCGTACTTTGTGTGATTTCAAGTTTTTAGAATTGATAAAGTTTGTTTTATTACCCAGGATATGCTGGCTGTTCTGTATACACTTGAGAAGAATGCATATTCTGCTTTTGGGTTAGAATTTTTCATAAATGTCAGCTAGATCCAGTAACTTGATGGTGTTGTCCAGTTTTCCTGTATAATTGCTTATTTCTGCCTAGTGGTTCTGTCTATTACTGAAAAAGAAAGTGTTGAAGGCTCTTACTATAGTTGTACATTTGTCTGTTTGTCATTTAATTTCAGTTTTTATTTTGTGTATTTTAAGCTCTGTTGTTAGGTGCATGCACATTTAGAATTGTTCTGTCTTCTTTGTGAAATGATTCTTTAATCAATATGTAATGTTCCTCTTTTGTCTCTGGTCATTTTCTGTGCTCTGAGTCTATTTTATCTGATATTCATATAACCATTCCAGTTTTCTTTTGATTTGTGTTTGCAGGCTACATCTTCTTCCATGATTTTACCTAAACTTACCTATATTGTTAAATTTTAAGTGAGTTTCTTGTAGACAGTGTCTAAAGTTTGGTCATTTATTATTATTATTTTATCCAGTCTGACAACTTCTGTCTTTTAATTGATGTGTTTACTCCATTACATTTAAATTAATTACCATATTTTTATGCAAATAATGCCCAACTTCTACGTTTCTTTGCCAGCCACTCCCTCCCCTTGTGAGGTATTTCCGTAAGTGCTGCTATGCCAGTTGTTGTTTTTTCATGTTGCTGTAAAAAAATAAGCATAGTGTGCTTACAAAAATACCTCCAGGCGGGGAGGGAGCAGTTAGCAAATAAACGTAGAAGGAGCATGTTAGTTGCGTAAAAATACAGTATTGATACGTTTAGGTTTAAATCTACCGTTACATTGTTTCCTGTTGGTTTTCATTGCTTTTTTGTTGTTCTTGTTGTTCCTCTTTCCCTCTCTCCAGCCTTCTTTGGGTTTATTTGAATGTTTTTTCATATCTTTTTGATTTATCCACTGTGTTTTTTTTCCATTATACCTCTTGTTTTTTTGCTTTGTTTTGTTTTTAGTGGTTGCTGTAGGGATTACAGAATACAGACGTGGGTTTTCTCAGTTATTTAGAGTCAATATTTTCTAACTTCATTTGGAATATAGAAACCTTTCAACCATGTATATTCTTTATCTTTCTCTCTTTATGCTATATTTGTTACATTAAAAACCCTTACCAGACAATGTTGCATGTTTTGTTTAAAACCATCCAGCATGTTTAAATAACTCAGTCAGAAAATAACAGTTTATTATGTTTACTCATATATTTACCATTTCTGTTGTTCTTCTAGCATTCATGATGTTCCATGTTTTCTTGTAGTATCATTTGTCTTCTGTTTGAAGAACATCCTTTATTAGTTCTTTTAGATCAATAGTTTTGTCTGAAAATACTTTTAGTTTTCCTTCATCTGAGAGTGTGTTTATTTTACCATCATTCCTTGTGGGTATTTTTCCTATAGAATTCTGGCTTAACAGATTTTTTTTTTTAATTGTTGTTTTGTTTTGTTTTTTCTTTCAGCACTTTAAAAATATTGTCCCGCTTTTTTCTGGCCTCATAATTTTTTATGAGAATTCCATAGTCATCAGAATTGTGCCACTATAGGTAATGTATCACTTTTCTCTGTATGCTCTCTCAAGATTTTTTTTTTCTTTAGTTTTCAGCCATTTGTTTACAATTTGTCTGAGTGTGGATTTCTTTGGGTTTATCCTGCAGGGATCTATTTCTTGACTATATAGGTTTGTACCTTTTACCAAGCCTGAGAAGTTTTCAGTCATTAGTCTAATATTTTAGCCATACATTCTTTCTTCTTTCCTTCTGGCACTGTGACATGAATGTTAGACCTTTTATCGTTGTCCCAAAAGTTTCTTGGACTTTGTTCATTTTTATTCAATCTTTTTCTTTCTATTGTTTAGACTGGATAATTTCTATTGATTATATTGGTTGATCTTCAACTTCATTGACCCTTTCCACTATCATTTCTATTCTACCATGAGTATATCAAATGAATTTATTTTATTTTATAGTTCTAATATTTCTACTTGCTTCTCATTTATATCTTGTATATTTTACTGATACTTGTATGTTAATATTTGTTGCAGTTACTCATTCAAATGGTTTTATAATAACTACATTAAAGTCCTTGACAGATAATGCCATCTGTATCATCTTGTCATTGATGTCTGTCAGTTGGCTTTTCCTATGTGAGTTGAAATTTTTGTGATTCTTTGTGTGCTAAGTAATTTTGGTTTGTATCCTGGACATTTTGAAAAATGTACCGTGGAACTCTACATCTTGTTTATATCCTATTTGTGGGCCATGGCTCCAGTGTCAGTTTTCAAAGTCTTTGCAGTATTAGTCCAATCTTTTCTTGCATATATGTTATTCATTGGTCACTCTGACACCTGGGTAAAGTTCTACTCATTAGCTCAAATTTTGATGTTTGATATGCTAATTAGGATTAAATCCATGTATGGAATGTCAGGGTGAGCCCATGAGTTCATAAAATTTATGGCATCACTCTCCTGCTCCTCCCTCCCTGTTATCTCACCAGTACTTTCTGGCTGCCTAGGATTCCTTTTTCAATCCTCCACCCAGAAATCACCCACTTTCATGATTGTGCCACATCTAGGGCCAAGTGGAAGGAAGACAGAGAGAGAGTAGTAAAAAGCATTGAGGTTTGACACTGTGCTCTTGGAGCTGCAGATCCACTGAAATGAAAGGAAGATTACCCTTTTTCGGATTTTTGGCTCTTTTGTGTTTTGTATTCTCATCTACTCTTCTTACATCCCTACCCCAAGACTTCTCCGGGACTTGGACACAAGAGAATGGAGGAAAATAATGGAATGGTCCCCATTCTCTCTGAGCTGTTGTTGTTAGGTGCCATCAAGTCGATTCCAACTCATAGTGACCCCATTTGACAGAGAAGAACTGCCATCATAAGGTTTTCTAGGCTGCAGTCTTTGCAGAAGCAAATAGCCAAGTCTTTCTCTCTCAGAGCTGCTGGGTGGGTTTGAACTGCCAGCCTGTCAGTTAGCAGCCAAGTGTTTAACTGTTACGCCACCAAAACTCCTTCCCTGAGCTATCGTAGTCCCCTTTTCCACTTACTGAGCCAGAACTAATAGTTTCTCCTGGATCTCATTCTGTCTTCATTACAGTGCTTATTTCCAGGCTTTGGGTTGTTTTGAGTTCAGACCAGGGGATACAGAAGGGGGAAAATGGTAAGCTCACCACTGGTTCGGTGATACTTCAAATTCTGGTGTTCTTCCTGATTCACCTGCTGATGTTTACTTTTCACAGTTTTCCATGTTTAATAGTTGAGTTTAGTGGAAGATGAAGTTGTGTGTGTGTGTGTGTGCGCGCGCACGCGCGCGCATGTGTGTTTACTTCATCTTACCTAGAAGCCAGTGATTTTTTTTTTCACTCTATGTGTTCATGTATGTCAGATGTTTTTATAAATTCTGAAAATTATTTTTTGATGAACTCTCCCTTACACATAAAAGGAATCAAGGAGAAGAAGACACTATGTAGTTGACATAAGAAGAGAGCTGGTATAAAACGTTTCTAAGGACAGAGTTACAAGAAACATATCTAGATAACTGTGTAAGAAAAGTTCTAAAGTGAGAATTTTCTAAGGTTAGAGTTAGAAGCACCATAGAAGTTCTGGCTTCTCTTTCTAGGTAAAAGGAGTACCTCGAAAGATGCATCCTATGGAAATTGACCATTTCGTGTCTGCTTTTAACCTGCTAGAAAAATATGATGAATTTTCACAGTCACTGAGTGAAGGAATGAAGCGCAAACTCTCCATCATTATAGCACTTATAGGAGGCTCCAAGGTATTGAAGGAGGAAGGGAGGGAGGGAGAAGGAAAGAGAGAGATTGATTGACCATACACAAGTGCTAAAAATGGGTCCCTGCTAGCAGGCCTAGAAAACTCAGTTGACACAAACCTGAGAGCTGATATGAATCTAACCTTCTAAAAGAAACCTTGCCAGTGATAAGCAGAGGAGATTCACATTATTGACCCACCTAATATAACATGGTTATGGGATTTGGAATTAGTCATTTTTCATAGAGTTTTTACCTCTATTTCAATCTAGACTATATTAGCTTAAATGTGTTTCCCCATGAATAGCAAGTTATCCCACTAGTAGTATAACATCAATTATCAATGGTTATGAAATTGTTCTCATGGCTTTTAGGTAGTGATACTTGATGAACCATCATCTGGCATGGATCCAGTCTCAAGGAGGGTGACCTGGGATCTCCTTCAGAAGTATAAACAGAGTCGTACCATCTTACTGTCCACTCACTGTATGGATGAAGCTGACGTCCTGGGTGACCGCATTGCCGTCATGGTCAGGGGGACCCTGCAGTGCTGTGGCTCTTCAGCCTTCCTGAAGCAAAGATATGGTCTCTCTCCTTTGATCAGTCTTAAGACACTGATACTTAATAAGTATTCTTCTAACATGATTTTCACTATTTTTTGTCTAGCTACCTATCTTAGTTACCTAGTACTAATGTAACAGAAATATCACAAGTGGGTGGCCTTAAAGAACAGAAATTCATTTTCTCACAATTCTGGACGCTAAAAGTCCAAATCAGGGTCTTGGCCATGTTGATTCCTTCTGTGAACCTCTCTCCAAGTTTCTGGTGTCTGTTGGCAATCCTTGGTGTTCCTTGGCATCTGTCTTGCCCCTGTGTGTGTGTGTGTGTCTGTGTCTGTCCTGGTCTTTTTATAATTTAGAAGTGATTAGGTTTAGGATCCATCCTATACTGGTATGGCCTCATTAATGTAACAAAGGAAAACCCTATTTCCAAATAGGATCACATTTTTTCACATCCATAGGTACAACGGCCAGGAATTCAACACATCTTTTGGGGGGACACAATTCAATCCATTACACTAACCAAAATTTCAAAGGCTTTTCAATCTGTATTATTAATTAGGTCTCAACTATTAGAATTGTTTTATAAGGCCCTTTGCAATCTGGATATTCTCTGTTTATGCTTATCACCCACCACGCATCTGTCAATTTGTCATACTCTGATGGCTTGCATGTTGCTGTGATGCTGGAAGCTGTGACACTGGTATTTCACATAGCTGCAGGGTCACCCATGGTGGACAGGTTTCAGGTGAGCTTCCAAACTAAGACAATCTAGGAAGAAGATCCTGGCAGTCTGTTTCTGAAAAAGTTGGCTAGTGAACACATTATGAATAGCAGCAGAACATCTGATATAATGCCAAATTGAGCCCCTCAGATTGGAAGGCACTCAAAATACACCTGGGGAAGAGATGCCTCCTCAAAGTAGAGTCGACCTTAATGATGTGGATGGTTAAAGCTTTCAGGACCTTCGTCTGCTAACGTGACATGAATAAAAATGATAAGAAACAGCTGCAAACATCCATTAATAATCAGAACATAGACTGGATGAAGTATGAATCTAGGAAAATTGGAAGTTGTCAAAAATGAAATGGAACGTGTAAGATTGATATCTTAGGCATTGGTGAGCTGAAATGGACTATTATTGGCCATTTTGAATCAATCATACAGTCCGCTATACCAGGAATAACAAATTGACTAGGAATGGCATCACATTCATTGTCAAAAAGAACATTTCGAGATCTATCCTGAAGTACAAAACTGTCAGTGATGGTATAATATCCATATGACTACAAGGAAGACCAGATAATTACGACTGTTATTCAAATTAACACACCAACTAGTAAGGCCAAAGATGAAGAAATTGAAGACTTTTACCAACTTCTGCAGGCTGCAATTGATTGAACATGCAATCAGGATGCATTGATAATTACTAGTGATTGGAATGTGAAAGTTGGAAACAAAGAAGAAGGGTTGGTCGTTGGAAAATAACGGCTTTGGTGATAGAAACGATGCCAGAAAGTGCATGATAGAATTTTGCAAGACCAGTGACTTCTTCATTGCAAATACCTTCTTTCAACAACATAAATGGCAACTATACATGTGGACCTTGCCAGATGGAACACACAGGAATCAAATCGACTACATCTATGGAAAGAGACAATAGAGAAGCTCAATATAATCAGTCAGATGGAGATGACACAGCCTTGCTTGCTGAAAGTGAAGAAGACTGAAGCACTTACTGATGAAGATCAAGACCATTGCCTTCAGTATGGATTACATTTCAACATAAAGAAGACAAAAATCCTCACAACTGGACCAGTAACCAATATCATGATAAACAGAAAATATTGAAGTCACAAAGGATTTCGTTTTACTTGGATCCACAATAAATGTCCATGGAAGCAGCAGTCAAGAAATCAAATGACGTATTGTACTGGGCATATCTGCTGCAAAAGACCCCTTTAAAATGTTAAAAAGCAAAGATGTCACTTTGAGGACTAAGGTGCACCTGACCCAAGCCATGGTGTTATCAGTCACCTCATATGCGTGTGAAAGCTGAACAGTGGATAAGTAAGACCAAAGAAGAATTGATGCCTTTGAATTATGATGTTGGTGAAGAATATTGAATATGCCAGAGATTGCCTGGAGAACAAACAAATCTGTCTTAGAAGAAGAAGTACAGCCAGAATGCTCCTTAGAAGCAAGGATGGCGAGACTTCGTCTAACATATTTTTGACATGTTATCAGGAGGGACCAGTCCCTGGAGAAGGACATCATGCATGGTAAAGTAGAGGGTCAGTGAAAAAGAGAAAGATCCGCAATGAGATGGGCAGACACAGTGTCTGCAACAGTGGGCTCAAACATAGCAATGATTTTGAGGATGACGCAGGACTGGGCAGTGTTTCCTTCTGTTGTACATAGGGTCACTATGAGTCAGAACCTACTCAATGGCACCTAACAACAACAATTATTGGTAAAATAGTATATAATATGTAACTAGATATAAAGAAGTATAAAACTTTGGGACATTCAGGTCCCTTCTTACAGATGCTAACTTTAAGTCTTTTTAAACTGCATTTCTTATACTTTAATAAAAAACCTAGGGGGGCCAAGATGGCGGAGTAGTCAGACGCTTCCAGTGGTCCCTCTTACAACAAAGACCCGAGAAAACAAGTGAACCAATTATATATGACAATCTAGGAGCCCTGAACATCAAAGGCAAAGTTGAGGAATCAGACTGAGTGGCAGAGGGAGGGAGAGACGGTTCAGAAGCAGCAAGGAGTTGCCAGACCTGATCCAGTGGGAGCCGGAGCCCTTCAGTCCAGATCAGCTCTGGGGTGAGTGGTGAGGAAGACAAGCTGTGGCACTCTGGAGACGTTTTCCACACTGGGAGAGACCCAGCAGCAGAGAGTCTAATTGGCCATCCAGAACCAGTGAGAAGCAGCCCTTGGTCAGTGAAAGATAAGTACTTGTGTCTGGCCTACCACATGTATCAAAAACACCTCCCTTGGGGAAAAACCTCTTTCCCATTTACCTCCCCACTCCCTGCTCTGCACTGAATCTGCACTGAGTCTGGGACCAGCTTTAGCAATTGCCGAGTCCCCTCGACCGGAAGTAGGACCCATCATGCCCCCTGGGCCATTCTCCCGGCCTTGGAGACAGAACAAATTAACCAACAGGGAAAAATAATCTGCCAGCTCCCCTAAGCCATGAACTCAGGATAGGCACAGCTCCTTTGCCTAGGCACAGGAATAAGGGGTCCCCAGACTTTGAGTACCTTTCCCCCTGCAGAGACTTGTGTGGGCCCATTTCAACAGCATAGGCCCTCATTACCACAGTACAACACGGTATATACTTGCAGTCTAACTTTAACTGTTTCAGCTGTGAAGTGGCAGGTTTGTGACATCTGACACTGCTCTGCCCATTAAGCAGGGTCTTCACCTACCCACATCAGAGGCTTGAGGACTGGTGGCTCCACTCACACCACCTAGCCACCTGCGACAGGGGCCCAAGAATAAGTAGTGTCCCCTAGTCCTTACAGCCAACAGCATTGGGTGCTCATAGTCCAGCTACAAAACCCACCCACATGCGCACTCTAGGGAACAGGGACACGCTTTCCTCCCGGACACTTGGGGGCGGCCATCAGCCCCCTGCCTTGCTCAGCCTATGACCCCCTGCTGCAGTCAGATGCTTGCGCCTAAACCAATCACTCATGCCTGTCTAGGACTGTAGGTGAGAGCCTGCACCACACACTTGGTGGCTGACTACCTGGACACCTTACCTGAATCCATACAGGAGGAGTGGGTGGACTCTTGGGCTTACATACTTAGTGGCAGTTCTGGCCACCTGGTGGCAGGATGTTGGAGCTTTGGGGGCGCCAGTGATCAGCTCACACAAGCAGCCTATTTGGGCATATCAAAACAAAACAAAACGAAGCTAGGACGCAGTAAGCAAACATAAATATAATAACTTATTGATGGCTCGGAGACAACAGTCAATATCAAATCACATAAAGAGGCACACCATTTTAACAGCGTAGGACCTCATTACCACAGCACAACTGGATATATACTTGCAGTCTAACTTTAACTGTTCCAACTTTAACTGCTTCAGCAAGTTCCCAAAATAATCAAATTTTCCAGAGGAAGAGAATTTTTTGGAATTAGTGGAGGCAGAATACAAAAGATTAATACAAAAAACCTAGGATTTGTGTTTGCTTCTTTGATGACATAGAAAATTCATGTTTTATCAGCATTCAACTCTCACTAACTACCTAGCCTTCCTGCAAAATGAGAGATTTTCTACTGAGGAAGTCTTGAGAGGATAAGATAATTAAGAAGCATATTGTGTCATGATTCCAGAACAAAGAAAAACAGTTTATGTGCTTTGTAAGTGTTATGGGTTGAATTGTATCCCCAAAACTGTGTGTTGGAATCCTAAGCCCCATACCTGTGGATGTAATCTTTTTTGGCAGTAGGGTTTTCTGTGTTGTGTTAATGAGGCCATATCAGTGTAAGGTGTGCCCTAAACCTAATCACTTCTGAGTTATAAAAAGACACATGCATGTACTTGGGAAGACAGATACAGATACCAGGGAAGATGGATTCCATGTGAGGATCACCAAGAAACACTTGGGGCTACCAAAAAGGAAGTAATAAAGATGGCCAAAACCCTGATTTGGACTTCTAGCCTCCCAAACAGAGAGAAAATTAATGTCTGTTCTTTAAAGTCACCCATTTGTGAGAGAGGCTGAATACATTCCCCTTGAGAACAGGAACAAGACAAGGATGCCCTTTATCACCGCTCCTATTTAACATTGTTCTGGAAGCCCTAGCTAGAGCAGTAAGGCAAGAAAAAAGAAATAAGGGCATCCAAATTGGTAAGGAAGAAATAAAACTGTCCCTATTTGTGGTTGATGTGATACTATACATAGAAAACCCAAAAGACTCCGCGAGAAAACTACTGGAACTAATAGAAAGATTCAGCAGAGTAACAGGATGCAAGATAAACATACAAAAATCAGTTGGATTCCTGTACACCAATAAAGAGAACAATGAAAAGGAAATCAGAAAAACAATACCATTTATAATAGCCCCTAAAAAAATAAAATACTTAGGAATAAAGCTAATCAGAGATGCAAAAGATCTTTACAAGAAAACTACAAAACGCTACTGCAAGAAACCAAAAGAGACCTACATAAATGGAAAAACATACCATGATCATGGCTAGGTAGACTTAACATTGTGAAAATATCATTTCTACCCAAAGCAATCTACAAATACAATGTAATCCTGATCCAAATACTAACAGCATTCTTTAAAAAGATGAAAAAACTAATCATTAACTTTATATAGAAAGGGAAGAAGCCCTGGATAAATAAAACACTATTGAAGAGGAAGAATAAAGTGGGAGGACTCATACTATTTGACCTCAGAACCTACTATACAGCTATAGTAGTCAAAACAGCCTGGTACTGGTACAATGACAAACACATTGACCAATGGAACTAGATTGAGAACCCAGATGTAAATCTAGCCACCTGTGGTCTCCTGATCTTTGACAAAGGTCCAAAGTCCATCAAATGGGGAAAAGACAGAGTTTTTAACAAATGATGCCAGCAAAACTGGATGTCTATCTGCAAATAAATGGAACAGGACCCATACCTTACAGCAGACACAAAAACTAATTCAAAATGGGTCAAACACCTGAATACAAAACCAAAAACTGTAAAGATCGTAGAAGAAAAAATATGGTCAATGTTAGTGACCCTAATACATGGCATTAACAGGATACAAACCGTAACTAACAATGGACAAACACCAGAAGATAAGCTAGATAACTGAGATCTTCTAAAAATTAATCACTTAGGTTCATCAAAAGACTTCACCAAAAGAGTGAAAAGACAACCTTCAGACTGGGAAAAAAATTTTGGCTATTACAAATCCGACAGAGGTCTAATCTCTAAAATCTACAGGAAAATCCAAAACCTCTACAACAAAAAGACAAATAACCCAATTAAAAAATGGGCAAAGGATATGAACAGCCACTTTACCAAAGAAGACATTCAGGTGACTAGCAGGTATATGAGGAAATGCTCACGATCACTAGCCATTAGAGAAACGCAAATTAAAACTACAACGAGATCCCATCTCAGCCCGACATTACTGGCACGAATCAAAAAAACAAAACAAATGTTGGAGAGGCTGCAGGGAGATTGGAACTCTTATGCACTGCTGATGGGAATGCAAAATGGTATAACCATTTTGGAAAACAATATGGCACTTCCTTAAAAAGCTAGAAATCGAAATACCATATGATCCAGCAATCCCACTCTTAGGAATATATCCTAGAGAAATAAGAGCCCTCACACGAATAAACATATACACACCCATGTTCATTGCAGTATTGTTCATAGTAGCAAAGGGATGGAAACAAACTAGGTGCCCATCAACAGATGAATGGATAAACAAACTATGGTGCATACACACAATGGAGTATTACGCAACAATAAAGAACAATGATGAATCTGTGAAGCATCTTATAACATGGATGAATCTGGAGGGCATTATGCTGAGTGAAATAAGTCAATCACAAAAGGGCAAATATTGTATGAGACCACTACTATAAAAACTCATGAAAAGTTTTACACACAAAAAGAAACAATATTTGATGGTTACGAGGGAGGGGAGGAGTGGGAGGGAAAAACACTAAATAGACAATAGATGTAAGTGGTAACTTTGGTGAAGACAGTACACAATATTGGGGAAGCCAGCACAGCTTGTCGGAGGTAAGGTCATAGAAGCTCCATAGACACATCCAGACTTGAAGGACCAAATTACTGGGCAGAGGGCTGTGGGGACCATGGTCTCAGGGAACATCTAGCCTAACATAGTTTATAAAGAAAATATTCTACATTCTACTTTTGTGAGTGGCATCTGGGGTCGTAAAAGCTTGTGAGCGGCCATCTAAGATTCTCCACTGGTCTCACCCTGTCTGGAGCAAAGGACAAAGAAGAAAACCAAAGGCACAAGGCAAAGATTAGCCCAAAGGACTAAAGGACCACAACTACCACAATCACCTCTACCAGACTGAGTCCAACACAGCTAGATGGTGCCCAGCTGCCACCACTGACTGCTCTTATAGGAATCACAATAGAGGGTTCCCGACAGAGCTGGAGAAGAATATAGAAAAAAATTCTAAAAAAAAAAAAAAAAAAACACGGTCTTACTGATCTAAGAGACTGGAAAAACCCCAAGAGTGTGGCTCCCAGACACACTTACAGCTCAGTAATGAAGTCACTCCTGAAGTTAGCCCTTCAGCCAGAGATTAGACAGGCCCATAAAATGAAGCAAGACTAAATGTGCACACCAGCCCGGGGTCAAGGACAAGAAGGCAGGAGGGGACAGGAAAGCTGGTAATGGGGAACCCAAGGTTGAGAAGGGGAGAGTATTGTTGACAGTCGTGGGGTTGGCAACCAGTGTCACAAAACAATATGTGTATTAATTGTTTAATGAGAAACTAGTTTGCTCTGTAAACCTTCATCTAAAGTAGAATTAAAAAAAAACAATAAAGTCACCCATTTGTAGTATTTGTGTTACAGCAGTGGAAAGAAACTTAGGGCAGTAAATAAACCAAAAGTAGTTTTGGTCCCAGTAGCTAGTGGATAAGTAATTTCATTGTCTGGATGTCAGCTGCCTCTTCTGTAAAATGGAATAATAATGTCTTACCTACTATAAGGCAGATAAATTAACAAAATTATTAACCAAGTGCTCTCTGCTTAAAACCTGTTATTCACTTTTTAAATCTTAATAAGATAAATGCAAATACAATTAGGAATGTATAGATTTTAAAATGTTTATCTCTAATTCCAGAGCAAAGCACTAATTACATATAATCATTCTTTCGCTTCTTTAAGGTCTTTAGTCAGGAATCATCTTCTCAGATAGGCTTTCCGTGGAGTCTCTCTAAAATTTGACAATTTTTTCTCAACTTTTTATATCTCCTTTCTCTATTTTTCTAATACACTGTATATTTTAACTTATTCTCCTTGATTTTTACCTGTTTTCTTTCACTAGCAAGTAAGCTTTATGAGGGCAGGGATTTTTATCTGTTTTGTTCCCTGATATATGCCAAGGGCCTAGATTAGTGCCTGACAAACAGTGGGCAATCGATAATAATTATTAAATGAATAGTTATCAAGGTTGCAACTTGAAAAATGATAATTAGCCGGATAACAAAGGCCTGTCTTAATATTTTTGCTGTATCTGGTTATATACACTAGATCATTAGTGTTCACTAGAAAATTACTGAAATTGCAGCAAGTTGTTATTTATTCAGTTTCTTGGTTCTTTGAGCATCGTTTGCAACCTTTAGATATGAACCTGTTTAGAGTCATAGGCAGATGTCTTGTGACATGCAATGCCTTCTTCCTGTGGACCTAGCTAACCTGAACCATGGAGAACCAAATCGATTCTACAAGATGATTTAAAAGTACAAAATTGCTTCATTTGGTCTTTTAACGGTTTCTCTCAGGTGCTGGATACCACATAGTCATGGAGAAGAAACCTCATTGTGATGTTGAAGGAATCACTGCACTGATTGATTCTCATATTCCAGATGCCAGTCTAGATAACAATACTGTAACTACATTATCATTTTTTCTACACAAAGAGCATACACAAAGGTATGGATCCACAGAGTTCTAGATGGGTGGTTTTTGGGTGGCCAGAAATAATTTTTAATTTTCTGGGTTTAATAGGCTTAATAACTAGTGTTATTCTAACAAGCCAGGGCTCATGTTATAGCTATCATTTGCCAACTAGTGTTGGGTAGTTCACAGTTGAATTTTTCTCTCTCTGAACAGAAGATAGTGTCTTAAGTTCAAATTTATTCAAGGCTTATTTGACATTTTTATTTCTGTCTTTTTTGGGAGGTTTGTCACTTAGTGGTTAGAGTTTCATGGTGTTTCTAAGTGATAACTAATGGTAGTATGTTTGTAGTTTACAAATATTACACCTGGTGAGTAGGATCCAGGGAAATATTAAGATGATTGAATTAAAAAGTAGCTCAAATGGCAACTCTTGGAGCAGGGGTAACAAGGACACAGAGAAAACAGAATCTAACCACAACATTTAACCAGTTAATTATAGAGGAGTGTTACAGGAATGATAGTTTTACCTGAGATTCCCATGCCAGGTAAGAGAAATGGAAACTAAGATACTCATCAGTGACCTCCAGGGAATGTACTATTTTCATCTTCTTGCCAGAGGTAGTCTACCTAGATATCCCATGGAGGCAAAATGGTTGCCGTACACAAAAAAATGATGAAGGTCTTGTATGACATTGCTCTACATTTCTATCTGTTAAAGAGCTCCTCCATAGAATGAAGGAAATAGCACACAAGGAGCCAGGCAATCCAAGATTCTAATAAGTGAAGAGATCTGAAAGTAAGTGTCCAAGAGGAGGAGTAAAAAGAAGGTGAAAGTCTCCATGGAAACTGTGCTCATTCAGAGAATACATCTGAACTTCGTTGAGAAGCAAAATCAGGGAAAAGCATTATAAAGCATCTGGGAAGAACTTTGACCCCAGTAATGAGGGAGTGAAACAACATGGTACCAAGGAGTAAAGGATATAAAAGAAACTACAACTGGACATTCGTTCATTATGTGGAGACTCATTTAACAGTGTTAGAAGACAACAGCTTTGTTTGGTACTTTATCAAAGCATGGCCATCTATAAGTGCAGAGTGTTCCTGAAAGAAACATGTAGGCAGAAAAACTACTTAGACTTATCACAACATCTGCTCATCCTATATTATAAGTATACAAATGTATGCTTATTATTTGTATACAGTTTGTATACAGATTATCAGAAGAGACCAGGAATAATGACTATGTCATTAATATTAAGTTTAAAATGAGAAATGTAAAGATTGGAAAGCAGGTGATGTTTTCATCATGTCTTCCTAGTAATATGTTGAACATGGAAGAGAGAAAGGAAGAAGCTGAGAGATAAGTAACTAGTCACACAGATTAATATCAACAGATTAGATATGGATTTCTGGGCCATGGGCAGTAGATATAGAACAGCATAAAATATAAATCATAAAGTTGAGGAAGAATGTGTTTGTTCACAATGAAGTTTTCTTTAACAGGATAATTTTAAACTAATATATTGAAAGGAAGAAAGAAAAATAACCAGAATAAAATGCCCATAACCCATTAAATTCATAAAACAGTTTAGTATAGTAGGAAAAGAATAAAATGACAAGAAGTTCTTGGTTATTTCCAAGAATTTGTCAGCTAAGATTAATTGTTCATTTACTTTGTGACAGGCATGGTTCTAAATGCTTTACCTGTGTGTATTTACATGAGAAAACAATGAGGAAAAGACTTGGAAACAATACTTATAACTTCATATATCTATATTCTAATCTATAGAATGTGGCTAACAAAAGTGAACTTGAGATTTTTAAACAAGATTGTAGCTAGTTCTTTGAGAAAACCAATAAATTCTATAAAACTCTAGTCAGACTGATCAGAAAAAAAAAGAGAAGACATGAAACTTCCTATATTTGGAATGAGGTGATGTCCCTACACATGTTACAATATTATATTAAAAGGATATTAAGGGGATATTATAAACAACTCTTTGCCAACAACTACCACATGTCTGTCACTTTGTCGTACTGTGGTGACTTGTATGCTGTGATGCTGGAAGTTATGCCACCAGTATTTCAAATACCAGCAGGATCACCCATGGTGGACAGGTTTCAGTGGAGCTTCCAGACTAAGAGAGACTAGGAAGAAGGACCTGGCACTCTACTTCTGAAAAAAATGGCCAGTGAAAACCTTATGAATAGCAGTGGAACATTGTTTAATATGGTGCCAGAAGATGAGCCCCTCAGGTTGGAAGGCACTCAAAATATGACTGGGGAAGAGCTTCCTCCTCAAAGTAGGGTCTACCTTAATGACATGGATGGAGTAAAGCTTTCGGGACCTTCATTTGCTGATGTGACATGAAACAAAATGAGAACAAACAGCTGCAAACATCCTTTAATAATCAGAATGTGAAATGTACAAAGTATAATTCTAGGAAAATTGGAAGTAGTCAAAAATGAGATGGAATGCATAAAGGTTGATATCCTAGGCATTAGTGAGCTGAAATGGACTGGTATTGGCCATTTTGAATCAGACAGTCTTATGGTCTGCTTTGCCCGGAATGACAAATTAAAGAGGAATGGTGTTCCATTCATCTTCAAAAAGAACATTTCAAGATCTGTCCTAAAGTACAGTGCTGTCAGTGATGGGATAATATCCATACGCCTACAAGGAAGGCCAGTTAATAGGACTATTATTCATATTTACACACCAACCACTAATGCCAAAGATGAGGAAATGGAAGATTTTTACCAACTTCTGCAGTCTGAAATTGATCAAACATTCAGTCAAGATGCATTGATAATTACTGGTGATTGGAATATGAAAGCTGGAAGCGAAGAAGGATCAGTAGTTGGAAAATATGGCTTTAGTGATAGAAACAATACCAGTGATCACATGATGGAATTTTGCAAGACCAATGACTTCTTCATTGCAAATACCTTTTTTCAACAACATAAACGGCGATTATACATGTGGACCTCACTGGGAGGAAAACACAGGAATCAAATCGACTACATCTATGAAAAGAGACGATGGAAAAGTTCAATATCGTTAGTCAAAACAAGGCCAGGGGCTGACTGCAGAGCAGACCATCAATTGCTCATCTACAAGTTCAACTTGAAGCTGAAGAAACTTAGAGAACAAGTCCACAAGAGCCAGAGTACAACCTTGAGTATATCCCACCTGAATTTGGAGACCGTCTCAAGAATAGATTTGACACATTGAACACTAATGACCAAAGACCAGACAAGCTGTGGGATGACATCAAGGACATCATACATGAAGAAAGCAAAAGGTAATTAAAAAGACAGGAAAGAAAGAAAAGACCAAAATGAATGTCAGAAGAGACTCTGAAACTTGCTCTTGAACATAGAGTAGCTAAAGAGAATGGAAGAAATGATTAAAAGAACTGATTAGAAGATTTCAAAGGGCGACTCAAGAAGACAAAGTATTATAATGATGTGTCCAAAGACCTGGAGGTAGAAAACCAAAAGGGAAGAACACGCTCAGTATTTCTCAAGCTGAAAAAACTGAAGAAAAAATTCAAGCCTGGAGTTGCAATTTTGAAAGATTCTAAGGGCAAAATATTGAATGACACAGGAAGCATCAATAAAAGATAGAAGAAATACACAGAGTCACTATACCCAAATGAATTGGTCAACAATCAGCCATTTCAGGAGGTAGTATATGATCAAGAATGAGTGATATTGAAGTAAGAAGCCCAAGCTGCACTGAAGGCATTAGTGAAAAGCAAGGCTCCAGGAATTGATGGAATACCAACTGAGATGTTTCAACAAATGGATGCACGTTGGAGGTGCTCATTCCTCTATACCAAGATGTTTTGAAAGATAGCTACCTGGCCAGCCGACTGGAAGATATCCATAGTTGTGCCCATTCCAAAGAAAGATGATCCAACAGAATGCAGAAATTATCAAACAATATCATTATACCACACACAAGGAAAATTTTGCTTAAGATAGTTCAAAAAACTGTTGCTTCCACAGGGAACTGCCAGAAATTCAAGCTGGATTCAGAAGAGGACACGGAACAAGGGATATCATTGCTGATGTCACATGGACCTTGGCTGAAAGCAGAGAACACCAGAAGGATATTTACCTGTGTTTTATTGACTATGCAAAGGCATTCAACTGTGTGAATCATAAAAAATTATGGATAATATTGCAAAGAATGGGAATTCTAGAAAACTTAGTTGTGCTCATGTGGAATCTGTACATAGTCCAAGAGGCAGTCATTCAAACAGAATAAGGGGATACTGTGTGGTTTAAAATCAGGAAAGGTGTGGTTCAGGGTTGTATCCTTTCACTATGCTTATTCAATCTGTATGCTGAGCAAATAATCTGAGAAGCTGGATTATATGAAGAACACAGCATCAGGATTGGTGGAAGACTCATTAACAACCTGCAATATGTAGATGGCACAGCCTTGCTTCCTGAAAGTGAAGGGGACTTGAAGCACTTACTGATGAAGATCAAAGTCTACGGTATGGATTACACGTCAACATAAAGGGCTCAAACATAGCAATGATTGACAAGATGGTGCAGATCCAGACAGTGTTTTGTTCTGTTGTACACAGGGCCACTATGAGTCGGCATGGACTCAATAGCACCTAACAACAACAACAACAACATTCCAACAAATCTGACAATTTAGATGAAATGGAAAAAAAAATCATTGAAAGACACAAATTAACAAAACTGACTCAAGACATATGTACACCCATGTTTATTACAGCATTATTGACAGTAGCAAAAAGTTGGAAACAACCTAAGTGTCCATCAACAGATAGGTGGATAAACAAAATGTGATACATAAAAACAATGGAGTACTACTCCACCATCAAGAAAAATGAGGTCCGGATACATGCTGCAACATGGATGAACCTTGAGGACATTATGTTGAATGAAATCAGTCAATCACAAAAAACAAATACTGTATGATCTCACTTTTATGAGTAAACATATAGAGACTAGTGTTTATAGGTGAACATACAGAGACCAGTGACTGTTAGTGGTTACCAGGAGCAGGGGGCTGGGAGGAAGAATCATTCTCTAGGCAATAGTGACTTTTTGTTTATGGTGATGGAAAAAGTGGTATCAGCTAGGGGTAAAGATTATACAACATGACTAATGTAATGATATCACTAAGCTATACACAAGAAGAACAATAAATTGGCAAATCTTTTATATATAATCTTACAAGAACAACTGCATTAAAAAGAGAAGACTACAGCCGCTGATACTGCTTAGATGCGACCAAACACCTCACAGGATTAGTTTTCTTGGTTCAGAGGTATAGGGTCATAGTTCTGAGGGACAGTAAAATCAATTGGCATAATACTGTTTTTAGAGTTTATGTTCTACCACTTAATTCAGTGAGTAGTGCCTTGACTCTTAAAAGTTTGTGAGTGGTCATCCAAGGTACAACATTGGTCTGTGTTCACTAGAAGCAACAGAAGAATAAGGAGACCCAGGAATCAGAGAAGGAGATGGAGTACAGAACTAATTGCATCCACGAACTACTGCCTCCTCTTGAGACCAGAACTGGATGGTGCCCAGCTACCATTACTGAACATTTTGATCATGGCCACGATGTTTTGATGGATACTGATCAAAAAGGAGAAGGGTGGATGGAACTTCAAATTGTTAAAGATTCCAGACTTACTGGACCCACCAAGACTGGAGGAACCCATGAAACTGTTGCCCTGTTATTTTTTGTTGTTATAGGTCATCAAGTCAGCTCCAACTCTTAGGAACCCTGTGTACAGCAGTGTGAAACTTTGCCGAGTCCTGTGCCATCCTCATAATCATTGCTATGCTGGAGCCCAGCATTGCAGCCACTGTCAGTCCATCTCATTGAGGGCCTTTCTCTCCTACACTGACGTTTTACTTTACCAAACATGACTATTGCCCTGACATACTCTTTAAACCTTTAATATCCTGAAATCATCTTTAGACTAAGTAATAGTTTAGCTCCAATAGTAAGGAACGTATCCTTTGAGAATTGTGCTCTCTTAAAAGATTGTATATATGAGACCAAATTGACAACAGTAAATCTACAGTATAGTTGAGAAGACTAGGAGAGCAGTAAGTCTAAGTTAAAGATGGTGAAACAGTTTGAGTAAAAATACGAGATTGTTGACACAAAGTAAAGGATATAACCAATGTCACTGAATTATATATGTAGAAATTGTTGAATGAGTGCATGTTTTACTCTGTATATTTTCACCAAAAATAAAATATTTAAAAAACTGACTTAGAAAAATTTTGACAACTTGAAAAGCCCTTTGTTTATTAAATTGAATTTGTACTTAAAAACCTTCACATAAAGAAAACTCGAGGACTAGATGGCTTCAATGATGAATTCTCCCAGACATATAAAGAAGAAATAATTCCAATTCTTTAAAAACTTCTCTAGAAAATTTAAGAGAAGGGGACATTTCTCAACTCATTTTATAATGCCAGTATATTACCCTGATACCAAAATCACTCAAGCATATTATGACAAAAGAAAACTACATACCAGTGAACACGTAAACATACACAGTAATCCTTACCAGATTATATGGGGTTTTGAATATCAGTGAAAAGCTATGCACTGGAATGATCCTATTGCGGAGAAGACTCAAAAGGAACAGGAGAATGATCTTGAAATATGTGAAGAATTGTCATAGGAAGAGGGTCAGATTTCACTGGGGAGTAAGATTAGAACCAGTAATTAAAACTAGGTAAGGTTAGGTGAAATGGAATTCAGCCTAAAACATGAAGGAAATTTAGAAAATGGAGAGTTTTGAGTTCACCATCTCTGAAGGTAATCATAGGTTTGATAGATCCTCATTTGGAATGGGAGATTTGTTCAAGATCTAGGTGGATTTTTTGAGAAGGTGATCTTTTAAACCTAAAATATTGTTAATTCTTTCTGGAAAACTATTCTTTGGAGCCCTTGATGTAACTACAACACAATTAGCAAAACTCACATACAACTCCCCTTGCTATTGGATTAAACCTGTCAGTGCCCAGCTTCTGTTCACTAACTTCATTTTATGTCATTGAGTGGTATCTTTCTTCTGTAATTTGAGAATTCTTTTCCCTTTTGTTGGAGGAACCATATGTGAATAAATTAACTCATCAACTATTGTAGTCCTTAACATATACAGACAATAATTTTATTAGAACAACGAAAGAATTTATATCAAAGGTCAAGTTACATTGGGGAAAAATTTGCTGGGGTAAATCTCTCTTCTTTCCATTTGTTTCACAATAAGAATTGCAGTGAAAACCTATCTTCTAAACTTTTTTCCCACTGCTAACAGGAAATATTTTGGAATAAAACAATACTGAAAATTCGTTTATGCTACTGCTAATTGTCTTTTTCCTATTCTTCCTCTCCTTCTAGGTTTGTAGCTCTGTGTAATGATCTGGAAGAAAAACAGGAAGAACTGGGCATTGCCAGATATGGTGCTTCAATCACTACCATGGAAGAAGTTTTCCTTAAGTGAGTAATGATGACCACGGGGAAAAAAAAAAACAAAAAAAAAACACTGCTATCTCTGAAATCCTACACCATTTTGGGAGCAAAACCCACTCTGTTTGTGACTGGAGTTATCACAATATTATTAAGTTTTTAGTTATGTTAATATTTTATGCTGTTGTATCTCCATATATTCAGCAGAGAAGTGTGTAAGAATTTTGAGCTCAGGCTTGATGCATGTGTGTTTTTGTGATAGAGGGTTTAGAGCTAACCAAGACTAAAGAAAATTAACATCTATGTCATCATAGGAAATGTTCTAGTTCTAACTTGGAGTCCGTACTAAGAATGACTTTAAACACTAAGAATGACTTTAAACTTACCATGTTTCTATAGTCTATGTAATTTGTACATGGTTTGTTTCCTGCACTGTATAAAAGTTCAAAATGAAAGTGCCCAGGGTGTTCAGGGTGACAGTAGGCAAAAACCAGCTGGTGAGCTGTCAAAAGTATTCACAAAATGCCTTTTTTTGGTAAGGTTATGACAGACCTGGATCTAGACTTCGTTCTCTCAGGGCAGAGATTTAATATTACCTGGGGTAATCGCATCACACAAATAAAATTCATAAAAGACTGATGTGTATAAATAAGAAGGCCAGTTAACTTACAATAAGAAGTAGAATGGCCAAAAAGCCATTCAATCAAATGTTCTGTTGCCCCTCTTTATGCAAGCTACACAGGGGCCTAAATTATAATGAGAAGATTACTTAGCATAACTAGAACAAGCTCCATAATGGCAGGGATTATGCCTGTTTTGTTCACTGCTTATACTGAGGGCCTCAAACAGTGTCACATAATAGACACTCAAAAATAAATAACAGCTGATGTTTGAAGCCATTATCTTCACAACAGAGGTTCTACCTGCCACTGGTAATTTACAGGTGAAAACCGTAAGTGTGGAGAACATTTGGAAACTACTGCAAAAGATATAAATAAATAAATGAAACATGGTAAAAATATTTAATGTAAAATGTAATTGGAATACAAGAAGGAAAGGAAAGAAATTAGGGAGGATGAATATTTGAAGAAATAATAGTTTGTAATTTTCCAAAATTGATAAAAGACATCAATCACCCTAAAAGTTCAAGAATTTCAGCAAACTGTAAACGAAATAAGTACTAATAAAGGCATATCTAGGCAAACCCCAAGCATAAAAATTTTAAAAAAGCCAAACCAAGCCACACCTTGTTTAAATTGTTGAAAATAAAAGACAAAGAGATAATCATAAAAGCTTCCATAGAAAAATATGCATTTACTTCAAAGAACCCACAATAAGACTTACAGCTCACTTTTCAGCAGAAATGGTGGAAGCCATAAAAAATGGATGACACATCTCAAAAGTGCTGGAAAAAAAGAACAACCTATAGGTTGAAACCATATGAACTTTTCCGTTTCTCTAGGTCAAAGCTGGTTAAATAACAACAATTTCATATGATTCAACCTAATGGAATTTTGTGTGCAGTGAAAATACCTTCAAAAATTAAAATAAAGATATTTTAAGAAAAACAAAACCAAGACTTCTTTGAAAGACTGAAAGAAATACTGAAAAAAATATTTCATGCTGATGGGAGATTATCCCAAAAAGAAACATGACTATTGGAAAGGGCAATTATATAGATAAATACTAATGAAAATTGACTGTACAAAGCAGTAATTATGTTTTGCAGCTTAAAATTATATAGAATTAAAGTCTCAGTCAACAACAAGGCAAAAGGTAAATGGGGGAAGGTACATGGATTTAGTGTGTCTTAAGGTCTTTGTATTATCTTAGAACTGGGCAAACAATTTATATTAATTAATTTAACAATTAATCTAACTTATTATGTTAATAATAAGTCGGGGATGTATGTTTTAATCTCTAGGGTAACCACTTGAATATTGTCTTAGTTATCTAGTGCTGCCATAACAGAAATACCACAAGTGGATGGTTTTAATGAAGAGAAGTTTATTTCCTCATAGTCAAAGTAGGCTGAAAGTCCAAATTCAGGGCATCAGCTCCAGGGGAAGGCTTTTTCTCTCTGTCGGCCTTCTTCTCTTCAGTGTTCCCCCAGACTAGGAACTTTTCGGCGCGGGGACGCCAGTCTAAAGGTTGCGCTCTGCTCCCGGCACTGTTTTCTTGATGGTATGACGTCCCCCTGTCTCACTGCTCACTTCTGTCTTTTATATCTCAAGAGATTGCCTCAGGACTCAATCCAGTCTTGTAGATCAGGTCCTGCCTTACTAACACAACTGCCACCCATCCTCCCTCATTAACATCATAGAGGCAGGTTTACAACATACAGGAAAATCACACAGTACCAGGAATCATGGCCTAGCCAAACTGATACACACATTTTTTGGGGGGACATAATTCAAACCATGACAAATATATAACTAAAAAGCTAGTAAGAGGAGACAATTTGAAGGATAAAAATACTTGATTAACCCAAAACTAGGTAAAAAAGGAGCCCTGGTGGCCTGGTGGTTAAGTGCTCGGCTGCTAACTGGAAGGTGGGTGGTTGGAATCCACCAGCTGCTCCATGGGAGAAAGATGTGGCAGTCTGCTTCCATAAAGATTTACAGCCTTGGAAACCCTATGGGACAGTTCTACTCTATTTGCTATGACTCGGAATCGACTTGATGGCAACGAGTTTGGGTTTGGTTTATATATATGCCACATATCATACATATATATACCTATGTATACATATACACGTATATACATACATACACACACATGCACCATACCCACTGAGTGGATTCCAACTCATAGGAACAACTGGTAGATTCAAACTGCTGACCTTTTGGTCAGCAGCCAAGCTCAACCACTGCACCACCAGGGCTCCATATATACATACGTATATATATATATGTATATACACACACACACACACACACACACACTTGTGTTTGTGTATATATATACGCACACACACACGTCTGTATTTTTTCTTTTTGTTTATATATACATACACTAGGTAGTAGTGTTTTTCGTTTTTACTTACATATACATACACTAGATAATAGTGTTTTTCCTTTTTACTTATATATACATACACTAGGTAATAGTGTTTTTCCTTTTTACTTATATATACATACACTAGGTAATAGTGTTTTTCCTTTTTACTTATTTATATTTTGTAATACTTTTAGTGAAAATTTATTACCAATGAAGAATAAAAACTTAAGAAAGATGATAGAGAAAAATAGTTACGGACTATATTTTAAAAATCACAATAGTCTCTAATCCTCTTAGTATCAAACAACAAACATACTGCAGGAACATTTTAAAACAGGTTTTTAAATCAATATTTGATACCTTTTTTGAGGCGTACAGAAGTCATTGATCTACTTATTACTTGTGAATATCATAGTTCAGAGTTCATTAATTTTGTATTCCATACAAGTGCTGACAGGAGGGTATTGAAAAGATTTTGATACATCTGTGGTTTAGAAAAAAGTATACCTTTTCATATCATGTATTTTCCACCAAGTATTTTACCATTTCAAATGGAATTAGTCTTTCCTATTTCCCAATATAGTATTATTTCTTTATTCTTCTGTTGTTCTACTAGCATTTCCCCCTTAGGTTATAATTATTTATTTATATCTCTTTATTCTTCTCAAGTGTCCATACCCAAAGACCCAGCTTCAGGCATATGCAGTAGTGAGAAAAATAAGAACATTAAAAAAGTAAAAAAACAAAACAGCTACTATCCAGCGTCCCCATCATTTCATAAGATGAAGAACATTTTAACTCCCAAAGTAAAGACATTATTTTGGATTAAAATTGAGTCCTTTAACTTGAATTAGTTCAGCTTAGTGAACCACACATGTATTATAATTGTTTTTCTCATGTTGCCATATAGTGATAGAAACCTTGCCACTGACTGGCAGCAGTCCTCCGACTGGTTATTGGTAATCACAGCTACTATGCTTCCTCTATGCAGTACTCCTGCTTACCAGTTTGAAAGGCCAAAGAGCCTTCCAAATTTGGGACTTTGTTTGAATATTTCCCAACTGAAATAAATTGAGGTTATGGATAAAATGACTTTGTTCTTTTTTGTTTATATGTGTGTATGTGTGTGTTTGTGTGTAGGGTCAATAAGCTGGCAGATTCCCAAATGGATGGTCAAGCTCTCCAGTCCCCTTCCTTGAAGGACCAAAACAAAAGACACGACAAGGACAAAAATGTGGATGTACCCAGTAATTACAAGAGATCAACTTCAGCTGCTCCGAATGAATTTGCTACCATTAAATTCAATACTGGGGTGAGCATATTCACTAATAATGTAAACCTAGTATGTTTAGTTTTGGTATAAGGTGTACATTTTGTTTAATATCTGAACTTAAAAGATGTTTGGAGTTTAGTCATAGAAGACACAGCCATATATGGAACAGTCTGAACTGTAACCTCATTAATTTTCTGATGTAGAAGAGATGAGTTCTAGATAAAGATGACAGTCACTACTCTCAACATTGTTATTTCTCAGGATCACTTTGAAAAGTTCTCATTCTAAATTTTTTCTCTGTTCTGCGACAGCACCTAAGAGTTATGACTATTTTATTCAGAACATATTGGTTGATCAGATTTTGAACAGTTTCTCACTATGAACCCAGAATATGTGTATTAAACCTTCAAAGGAGATACTGAAACATTGGTCTAGACATTGGGACCCTTCCAAGAAAGAGAAGATATCACAGTGAGGGCAGGGAAACTATAAATAAAGTCTGAAGGCTCTGCCCACCTAAGGGTTTCTTGCACACAATAGTATGGTCCAAAACACCAAATACTGGAGAAAATTGGGAAAGCTAACGTCTTGTAAATTTCTAATGTCTCGGTTTCAACAAAAAATTATAAGACACACACAATGGAAACAGTTGCTCATCCAAATGGACAAGATGGAGGAAGAGAAATCATATCCATGGAAGCCGAAATAATGTACATTTTGGAAGAATATAATACACCAATATTCAACAAGCTCAGAGAATAAAGAAAAACACAGACAAAGAATTAAAGGAACTCAGGAAAAGGATGCCTGAATAAAATGAGAATTTAAATAAAAGAAATCGATACTACTAAAAAGAAACAAACAGAAATACTGGAACTTAAAGAGAGAATAAATGAAATGAGAAACTCATTGGAAGGATTTAATAACAGATTTGATCAGGCAGAAGAACAAATCAATGAACTAGAGCATAAGATAGTCAAAATAGTGGAAGCTGAAGAGCAACAAGAGATGGTTCAAGACTGCTGAGCAGAATTTAATGGAAATATGGGACAGTATCAGGGGAACCAATATAAACATCATGGGGATCCCAGAAGATGAAGAGAGCTAGAAAAAGGCAGAAAGAATATTTGAAGAAATAATGGCATAAAACTTTCCAAATCTGATGAAGGACATCCAAGATGCTCAATGAACTCCAAGTAGGATAAACCCAAGTAGATCCACACTAAGAAACATTATACTCAAGATCTCAAAAACTAGGAGATAATCCTGAAAGCAGCAAGGCAGAAACGAACTGTTACCTACAAAAGATCCCAGTAAGACTGAGTACCGGTTTCTCCTCAAAAACATTGGAGGCCAGAAGGCAATGAAATGACATATTTAAAGCGCTGAAAGAAAAGAGTGCTATATTTTTGGCAAAACTGTCCTTCAAAAATGAGGGCAAAATTAACACATTCCCAGGTGAACAAAAGCTCAGATTGTTTGTATCCACTAGACCAGCCTACAAGAAATGCTAAAGAGAGTTCTTAAAATGGGAAAAAAGGACACTGAAAAGTAACTGTAAACCATATATAGAAAGGAAGATCTCCATTAAAGATAATTGCATGGTCAAGTATAAAGGCAAGTTTTAAGATATTCTTACTTGTTAATTCTAATTGGTACGTCTTTCATGCTTTATAGTGACAAATGCATAATAAATCCATATAAATTCATGTTACAGGGCACGTGATGTATAAAGATGTAATTGGTGATAACAACAACATAATTGGGGAGGAAGGAACTGTATGGGTATAGAGTTTGTATGTTGTTTTTGTTGTTAGGTGCTGTCGAGTCAGTTCCAACTCATAACGACCCTGTGTACAACAGAACGAAACACTGCTCAGTCCTGTGCCATCCTCACAATTGTTATTATGGTTGAGCCCATTGCTACAACTACTGTGTCAGTCTGTCTCATTGAGGATCTTCCTCTCCTTCGCTGACCCTCTACTTTACCAAGCATGATGTCCTGCTCTGGGGACTGATCTCTCCTGATAACATGTCCAAAGTATGTGAGATGTTATCTTACCATCCTTGCTTCTCAGGAGCATTCTGGTTGTACTTCTTCCAAGATAGATTCATTAATTCTTTTGCCAGTCCATGATATGTTCAGTGTTCTTCGCCAACACCATCAGTTCTTCTTCAGTCTTCCTTATTCATCATACAGCTTTCGCATCCATCTGAGACGATTGAAAACACCATGGCTTGGGTCAGGCACACCTTAGTCTTCAAGATGACATCTTTGTTTTTTAACCCTTTAAAGAGGTCTTTTGCAGCAGATTTGCCCAGTGCAATGCATCTTTTGATTTCTTGACTGCTGCTTCCATGTGCATTGATTATGGATCCAAGTAAAATGAAATCCTCAACAACTTCAGTCTTTTCTCCATTTATTATGATGGTGATTATTGGTCCAGTTGTGAGAATTTTTTTCTTTATATTGAGGTGTAATCCATACTGAAGGCTGTAGTCTTTGCTCTTCATTAGTGCTTGAAGTTCTCTTCACTTTCAGCAAGGAAGATTGTGTCATCTGCATAACGCAGGTCTCTAATGAGTCTTCCACCAATCCTGATGCTGCATTCTTCTTCATATAGTCCAGCTTCTTGGACTGTTTGCTCAGCATACAGATTGAATAAGTATGGAAAAGGATACAACCCTGACACACACCTTTCCTGACTCTAAACCATGCAGTATCCCCTTGTTCTGTTCAAATGACTGCCTCTTGATCCATGTACAAGTTCTTCATGAGCACAATTAAGTGTTCTGGAATTCTCATTCTTTGCAAAGTTATCCATAATTTTTTATGATTCACGCAGTCGAATGTCTTTGCATAGTCAATAAAACACAGTTTGTATGTTACTCAAGTTAAATTGGTATCAGTTTAACTCATTGTTATAAATGCAAGATGTTAAATGTAATATTCATGGTAACCACAAAGAAAATATTAACAAATACACACAAAAGGAAAGAAAAACAGAGTCAAAATGGCTCACCACAAAACAGCAGTGAAACACAAAAATTGGTAGCAATAGCGTTTAGCATGGACAAAGAAGTTATAAGACCACACACACAAAAGTAAATAACAAGCTGGCAGAAGTAAATCATTCTTTATTGATAATTACAGTGAATGTAAATGGACTAAATGCTCTAGTCAAAAAGCAGAGAGTAGTGAAATGGGTAAATACGATCCAAATATATGCTATCTACAAGAGACACATCATAGACCCAAGATTGAAAGTAAAAGGATGGAAAAATAATATTGCATGCAAGTAATCACCTCAACAAAATACTAGAAAACCAAATCCAAAGACATATTAAAAGGATTATACACCATGATCAAGTGAGTTTAATCCCAGGAATGCAAGGGTGGTTAAACATTAGAAAATCAATTAATGAAATTTACCAGATTAATAAAACAAAAGGAAAAAAATCACATGATCTCCTCAATCAGTGCAAAGAAGCTTTTGACAAAATCCAACACTCTGATGATAAAAACACTAAGCATAGTAGAAATGGAAGGGAATTTCCTCAATCTAATAAACAGCATTTATGGAAAACCCACAGGTAACATCATACTCATTGGAGAAAGACTAAAAGCTTTCCCCTTAAGATCAGGAACAAGACAGGGATACCCACTCTTACCACTGCTGTTTAATATCGTACTAGAAATCCTAACCAGAGCAATTAGGCAAGAAAAATAAATAAAAGATACCATAACCAAGTTGGGAAGGAAAAAATAAAACTCCTTTTCACAAATGACATGATCCTGTATATAGAAGACACCAAAGAATCCACAAGAAAACTCTTAGAGCTAATTAATGAATTCATCAGAGTGGCAGAATGCAAGATCAACATACCAAACCATTCAGGTTCTTATACATCAGCAATGAGCAATCTGAAAGGAAATTAAGGAAACAATTCCATTTACAATAGTGTCTAAAAGAATAAAATACCTAGGGATAAATTTAACTAATGAAGTAAAAGATTTGTACAATGAAAACTATAAAACATTACTGAAAATTTTTGGAAAAAAAAAAATCTATTGCCATCGAGTTGAAGTGAAGGACATTCCATGCTCGTGGATCAGAAGACTTAATACTGATGAGATGTCAGTACCACCTAAAACAATATGTAGATTCAATGCAATCCCCATCAGAATTTCAACAACCTTCTTTCAGACATTGAAAAGCCAGTTCTCAAATTTATATGGAACTGCAGGGACCCCAAATAGCCAAAGCAATCCTGAAAAAGAAAAGTAGGAAGACTTTGGCACACGTCCCAATCTCAAAACACATTATAAAGCTACAGTAATAAAAACTGTCTGGTACTAGTATAATGATAGACATATAAACCAATGAAATAGAATTGAGAGTCCAGAAATAAAACTGCTCAGCTATGGTTAATTTATTTTTGACATGGGTGGTAAATCCATCCAATGGGAAAAGAGTGGTTTCTTTAATGGACAGAACAACTGGATTTCCACAAACCAAAGAATGAACCTGGACCCATACAATTATATATACAAGTATTAACTCAAAATGGATCAAAGACCTAAATGTAAGAACTGAAACCACAGAACTCTTAGAAGAAAACGTAGGGATAATTCTTTAAGACCTAGTTTTTTTGTTGCATAAGCAACAAAAGACAAAACTCATAAATGGACCTGATCAAATTTTAAAACTTTGGTTCATCAGAGGACTTTATCAACAAAGTGAACAATCTAAAGATTGGGAGAAATTTGGGTGAGGGGGGAACCATATATCTGACAAAGATTTAATATACAGAATATATAAAGAGATTCTACAGCTTAACAACAAAAAGACAAATGACCTTATCGAAAAATGGGCAAAGTACTTGAATAGACACTTCACCAGAGAAGAAATACAAATGACCAATAAGCACATGAAAAGATGCTCAACATCATTAGTCGTCAGGGAAATGCAAATCAAAACTACCATGAGATGTCACTTCGTGCCCAGTAAGATGGCTATGATTTAAAAACAAAAAGAAGAAGAAAACAACAGGTACTGGCGAAGATGTGGAGAAATGATATGGAGAACTCTCATCCGTTGCTGTGGGATGTAAAATGGTACAGCTCCTGTGGAAATTGGTCTTACAGTTCCTCAAAAAATAAAGCAATTACCATATAATCCAACGATTTCACTTCTAAGAATATACCCCAAAATTCTGAAAGTAGTAACATAAACTGATAACAAGTACCCCAGTGTTCATTGCAGCACTGTTAACATAGCCAAAAGATGGAAACAAACTAAATGTCTACCAACAGATGAATGAGTAAACAAAATGTGGTGTATATATATATATATTTATTTATTTATACATACACACACATATATATATTTAAACACACACACACATATATATATATATAATGCAATATTATTCAGGTATAAAAATGAATAAAATACTGATACATTCTACAACATGGATGATTTTTTAAAATATGCTGAGTGAAACAAGTCAGCCACAAGAGGAAAAATGTTGTATAATTACACTTATATGAAATATCTAGAATGAGCAAGTATATACAGATCGAGGTTGATTAATGGTTACCAGAGGCAAGTGGGAGGGCCAGAGAAAGGGGGAATCATTGCTTAGGGGACACTGAGCTTTCCATAGGATGATAGAAAATTTTGGAGGCAGATAACGGTGATGGTTGCACAATGTGGTGAACACAATGTCATTGATTTATTAATGTGAAGATGGCAGATCTTATGTTACACATATATATTTGCCACAATAAAACAAAGAAGAAAAAATTGGGGGGAAAAATCTTCAAAGGAAAGTAGTTATTTACAAGTTTTATGGGTGTGTTTCCCTATAAAATGGAGGAAAATTGAAATGCTGTGATTTAATATTAAACAAAAGTAGGTATAATTTTGTTCTCTTGACAGAAATACAGTGTAGTTAGATCAGAAGCCAGGCCTTAATCTTTTCACCTAATATCTTGCACAAATAAAACTTCTTATACAATCTTGTTGTTTACCCAATTTGTTGGGTTCTATTTAAGGATACATTTGTATTATATGTGTGTATCTTCTACCATAACATTTTGATGCATTTATCTTAAAGAGTTTTAACATGAATAGCCTACTTGGTTCACTAACTATTTTAATACTGTGTTTCTCTCCTCTTTTTAGTTTCCACTTTATTGCCAGCAATTTCATTCCATGTTGGTAAAGAGGGCGCTATTCAGTTGGCGCAACTGGAGGTTGATGTTGATACAAATATTGGTAATTGTCTTTGTCACAGCCTATCTCTCAAAAAATTTGAAAAAAGATAAGAAGGTATCTTCCAGAGAAATAGATTTGGGTCATTATGGTCGAACCATCGTGCCTTACTCAATTTCAGGGAATTCTTCTTTGGCTCTGAATATCATAAAGAACCTTGAGATTTTTCTAAAGTCAAAGAATCAAGAACTTCGGGAAGTTCAAGGTAAGACCCATGTTTTTTAAAAAAGACTGCTGTTACGTGAAAACCTATTTATCACTAACAAAGAAGGGACTTAACTATAGTATTTAACTACCTGATTCTTTCTTTTCCTATTAGTCACCAGTATCATAAACCAAACCCATTGCCATCAAGTTGATTCCGACTCATAGAAACCCTATAGAACAGAGTAAAACTGCCTCATGGGGTTTCCAAGGCTGTAAATCTTTAAGGAAGGAGACTGCCACATCTTTCTCCCATGGAACAGCTGGTGAGTTCGAACCACTGACCTTTTGGTTAGCAGCCGAGCACTTTAACCACTGTGCCACCAGGGCTCCTGTATCAAGAGGCAGCTAAATCAAAGACAAAAATGTACCCTTCAACATTACTGGCCACAAAAGTTAATGGAGTCATGTTGGCTATAGATGCTCTTTCAGCAAATTGTGTCATCTTTCAGTAAATGGGGAAAAGAGCCAAAATACTATATTGTTTGGAAATTTAGCATAGAATTTTTATGCTGACCAGAATACAGACATCTCTCTAAGCTTTCCCAGTTTGACATGTTGGTGCCAAAACCTGAAAGCTGTCCTTCATCTACTATGTTGACTAAACAGATGGCTGAAAGCTTAGTGAACTGACTGCTCAGAATGAATTTATTTTGAGGGTAGTTGTCTTAGTTAGGGTTTTGTAGATTAACAGAACCAGTGATAGACAGATAGAGAGATAGACAGACAGACACACAGACTGATTGATTTTGAGGAATTGGCTCAAATGATTGTGGAGGCTGGCAAGTCCAAAATCTGTAGGTCAGGCAACAGGCTGAAAATTCCAGCAGTCTTTTCTATTTACTGTCTTGAAGGAGAATCCTTCTTTCTCAGGAATCCTGTTGTTGCTGTTAATATTTCAGCTGATTGGATGAGGCCTACCCACATTATGAAGGATGATCTACTTAGCCTAAGGTCAAGTGATTTAGCTGTTAATCACTTTTAACCCTTTTGTGACCCAATTATTTTTTCCTTTTAATTTTTTGTTGGTACTATGTGTTTTAAGTAATGGAGGGCATGCTGAATCATTGAGTGTGTATGAATTTATGGTAGATAATATAGTTTTTTTTTTTATGCCTCATTCCACAAATTGTACCCTTGGAGTCCAGAGGTACGTGTGTGTACTCCTTGTGAACACAAATTCTACCCTCAGAGTCCAGAGGTACATATGTATACCAAATAAAAATTTTCAAAATTCATACTATTCCTACCAAAAATTTAATGATTCAGCACCATCTCATACAATACCTAGTAAAAAAAGTAATTTGTGGCACATGCTGTTTTTTTCTGTTTCTAACCATTATATAAGGCCCTGCCTGCTGGCAGCACGTACTGTCAGTGGAACAGTGGCTTCCCAGTGAACCTCAGAAGTACAAAAAGTAAATGATAGCTATATATACTGCTGGTCCTGAAAGGGTTAAAGACCTTCATAACAACATCTAGACTAGCGTTTGACTAAATAACTGGGCACCATAGGCTAGCCAGATTAACACATAAAATTAACCCTCACAGTAGTATAAATAACTGTATTTAATTTGTTCAACATTTACCTTTAGCAAGAACCATACTAAACAGTTTCTCTACATTATCTTCATTAATGCTAGAAACAACCCGTGTAGGTAATTTATTAGTTATCTGTTGCTGTGTAAGAAGTCCCTGGGTTAAGTGCTCGGTTACTAACTGAAAGGCTGGTGGTTCAGATGCACCCAGAGGTGTCTCAGAAGAAAGCCCTGGTGATCTACTTCTGAAAGATCACAGCCATTGAAAACCCTACGGAGTAGTTCTCATGAAATATGGGATCGCCATGAGTCAAAATCTACTTGACAGCAACTGTTTTTGTTTTGTTTTTAATTTCTCTGTAACAGATTACCCCCAAACCTAGCAGATGGAGGAATTTAACCTTCAATATTATAGAAGGAGGACCTTGCTGAACCCATTCTACCACAAAAGCAACAGAAGTACTTTCAAAACAATTTTAAATTCAACCATTTCATAGCTCTGAAAATTAGCCAAAGACATTGAACTTCTGTAAGAACAATAGGGTCTGTGGCATTTTAACTTAGGGCTAGTCCCTGCCCTCTCCCTAGCTCATTGGTACAGCAGCCATGAAAAGCTGGTAGCCTCACAGTTACGGGACAGGACTGAATACTTTTGGAGCTAGGTTAAAACCCCATCCCAATAGCGCCATCAATGTTTTGTCAGAATTAGAAACTCCCTGAAAAATCTCCATTCCCAGAGTATTGTTGCTGTTGCATTTTAATCAGGACTCAGCTCTTTGAAAAAAGCCCAACCCCCAGAGCATTACTAATTTGCTGGTAACATCACAACAGCTAGCTACGGCTGGTTGTGATTTCAGCTGAAGAAAGCAGAAGCCTGGCAAAAAAGAAACATAAAAATAACACATGGAAAATTAGACAACCACAGTGGATTTTGAAAAGTTCAAACATATTCCTGGAGATGTAGAAGGTTGTGCATGTACACAGGGCAGTGTTTGTGGATAGGGATGGCCTAGGAAAAGAGAAGACTCCAGTCAGTCATCTTTGGTTGATCCTGAGACCCTGCCCAAAAAAGCTGAGGCAGACTACCTGATGTCTGAAAATACGCCTTACTGGATCAAGGCATTTAAAAAAACTTTTGACTGACCACTAAATTATACTGACCCAGGGGTGAACCCTAGGAGCCAGGCTTAAAAGTAAAAGCAAGAATTTTTTAAAATCCATCAGAGAAATCAGTGGTTGCACACTGTAGAGAATACAGAATCTACAGAATTAGTCCATGTAAGTCACTAAACAAATGAGCAGCAGTCATTTAAAAAAAAAAAAAAAAGCTAGGGAAGAATCTGATACCAGAGTTGTTAAAGTATACTGCCTTAGATTTCCAGTTTTCAACAACAACAACAAAAAGAGACATGCAAAGAAACATAAAAGTATGGCTCATATACAGGAGAGAAAAAGCAACCAGCAGAAAATGTCCTTGAGGGAGACCAGTTGTTGAACTTAGTAGACAAAAACTTTATATCAACTATCACATGTATGTTCAAAGAACTAAAAGAAATATGTTTAAATAATTAAAGCATGACAAGTACATCTCACCAAATAAAGAATATCTTTAAAGAGAAATAATAAAGTCCCAAATGGAAATTCTGGAATTGAAAAGTTATAATAACTTAAATGAAAAGTTCACTAGAGGGACTTCACAACAAATTTAAATTGGAAGAATTATCAACTAACTTGAAGGTAGGTCCATAGAGATTAGGCTGTAGAATAGAGAAATGAAGAAATTAAAAAACAATGGGAGCTTCTGAGACATGTGGGACAATATCAAGCATACCAACATATGCATAATAGGAGTCCCAGAAGGAGAGGAGAGAAAGAGGCAGAAAAATACTTGAAGAAATAATGGCTTAAAAACTTCCCAAATTTGATGAAAAACATTAATTTATACATCCAAAAGTATAATGAACTCCAAGTAAGAAAAACTCAGATGTCCCACTTAGACATATCATAATGAAACAAAGTCAGAGACAGAAATCTTTAAAGCAGAAAGAGAAAAATGACTTATCATATACAAATGATCCTCAATAAGATTCTCAACTGACTTTTTATCAGAAACCATGGAGCCCAGGCACACTGAGATGATACAAAGTGCTGAAAGAAAAATTGTCAATCAAGAATCCTAATCAAACAAATCTTTTGTTCAAAAATGAAGAAGAAATAAAAACATTTCCAGATAAATAAAAACTGAGAGACTTATTGCCAGCGGATCAGCCATATAAGAAATAGTAAAGGCAGTTCCTTGGGCAGAAATGAAAAGACAGTAGACAGTAACTCATATCTATATGAATAAATAAGAGCACTGGGAAAGATAATTATAGGTAAATATAAAATACAATATAAACATATATTTTAACTATTTTCTTCTCCTAACTGATCTAAGACACCTGAAAAACAATAACTGCAAAATTGTGTTAATGGATTTATAACATATAAAGGTGTAATTTGTACCACAATAATATCACAAAGGAGGAGGGAGGAAGGGAGCTATCTATGTCGGAGCAAGTCTTCTGTATACTATTGGAAGTACACTGGTAGTCATCAGAACTAGATTGTTTTAAGTTAAGATGCATATTGTAATCCCCAGTGAAACCACTGAAAAAATAACTAAAATAAATATAAAGGGAAAAAAAGAAACTTAAATGATACATTATAAAATAAATGCTTAATCTGCTGTACAGCCATGGTAGTCAAAACAGCCTGGTACTGGCACAATGACAGATGCATAGACCAGTGGAACAGAATCGAGAACCCAGACGTAAATCCATCCACCTGTGGTCAGCTGATCTTTGACAAAAGACCGAAGTCCATTAAATGGGGAAAAGACAGAGTTTTTAACAAATGGTGCTGGCAAAACTGGACATCCATCTGTAAAAAAATTAAACAGGACCCATACTTAACAACCACCATACACAAAGAATATCACAAAATGGATCAAAGACCTAAATATGAAACCTAAAATGATAAAGGTTATAGAAGAAAAAATAAGGACAATACTAGGGGCCCTGATACGTGGCATGAATACAATAAAAACCATATCTAACAATACACAAACACCAGAACATAAACTAGATCACTGGGAGCTCCTAAAAATTAAACACGTATGCTCCTCAAAAGACTTCACCAAAAGAATAGAGAGATCCTACAGACTGGGAAAAAAAGTTTGGCTACAACGTATCCAGCAAAAGTCTAATCTCTAAAATCTATAGAATATGTGAACACCTCAGCAACAAGACAGATAATCCAATTTAAAAAGTGGACAAAGGATATGAACAGACACTTCACCAAAGAAGACATTCAGGCAGCTAACAGACACATGAAGAAATGCTTGTGGTCATTAGCCATTAGAGAAATGTAAATCAAAACTACAATGAGATAGCATCTCACCCTGACATTACTGGCACTATTGAAAAAACAGAAAATAACAAATATTGGTGAGTTTGAGGGGAGATCGAACTTACGCACTGCTGATGGAAATGTAAAATGGTACAACCACTATGGAAAACGATGTGACTTGTTAAAAAGCTAGAAATAGAAATATCATATGATCCAGCAATCCCACTCCTAGGAATATATCCTAGAGAAATAAGAGCTGTCACACAAATATACATGCACACCAGTGTTCATTGCAGCATTATTCACAACAGCAAACAGCAAACAGATGGAAACAACCTAAATGACCATCAACAGATGAATGGATAAACAAATTATGACACATACACACAATGGAATACTATGCAATGATAAAAAAATAATCCGCAAAACATCTCACAGCATGGATGAATCTGGAGGGCTTTATGTGAGTTAAGTAAGTCAATCACAAAAGGACAAATACTGTATGAAACCACTATTATAAAAACCCAAGAAAAGGTTTATACACAGAAAAAAACAATCTTTGATGATTACAAGGAAGAAGGAGAATGGGGAGGGAAATCACTAACTAGATAGTAGACAAGCGTTAACTTTGGTAAAGGAAAAAACAATGTAGAGGAAGTCAGCACAGCTTGACCAAGGCAAAGTCATAGAAGCTTCCTAGACACATCCAAACACCTTGAGGAACAGAGTTAGTGGGGCTGAGGACTAAAGACTGTGGTCTCGGGACAGCTAGGTCAATTGGCATAACATAGTTCATAATGAAAATGGTCTACATCCTACTTTGTTGAGTAGCATCTAAGGTCTGAAAGCTTGCAAGCAGATATCTAAGATACATCTATTGGTCCCATCCCAACCAGAGCAAAGGAGAATGAAGAAAACCAAAGGCACAAGGAAAATATTAGTCCAAAGGACTAATGGACCGCATGAGCAGCAGCCTCTACCAGCCTAAGCCTAGAAGAACTAGATGGTACCCAGCTATCACCACCGATTGCTCTGACAGGGATCACGGTAGAGAGTCCCGGACAGAGTGGGAGAAAAATGTAGAACAAAATTCAAATTCACCAAAAAAAGACCAGACTTACTGGTCTGATAGAGACTAGAGGAACCCCCAAGATACGGCCCCCGGACACTCTGCTAACTCAGAGCTGAAGCCACTCCCAAAGTCCACTTTTCAGCCAAAGATTAGACAGGCCTATAAAACAAAAAAATAACACATGTGAGGAACATGCTTCTTAGTTCAGTCGAGTATACTAGACCAAATGGGTAACACCTGCCCAAAACCAAAGATGAGAAGGCAGGAAGGGACAGGAAAACTGGATGAATGGACACAGGGAACCTGGGGTGGAAAGGGAAAAGGGAAGAATGCTGACACAATACGGGGGTTGCAACCAATGTTGTAAAACAACTTGTGTATAAATTTTTGAATGAGAAACTAATTTGCGCTATAAACTTTCACCTGAAGCACAATAAAATTTAAAAAAATAAAAATGCCAGCATATTAAACCCAAGAAAGGAGAAGAAAGAAAATAATAAAGAGAAACAATTAATAAAATTTAATGCAAATATATAAGGAAATTCAATAAATCCAAAAGTTCATTCTCTGAAAGATCAATAATTTATAAACCACAAACCAGATTGATTAAGAAAAATACAAGAAACAGATAAATTACCAATATCAGAAATGAACAAGGAGATATAATACAGTTATTATAGACATTAAAGAGTTGTCAAGAGACAATAATGAAAAACTTTATGCCAATAATTATTGGAATTTGGGTGAAATGGACAAATTCTGAGAAAAACATAATGTACCAAAAGTACTAGAAAAAATGTCAATTATGGAAATTTTATCTGTAATTTAAAACTTTCCTCAAAGAAATGTTCAGGTGCAGATGGCCTCACAAATTATTTGAACCCCTCTAAACTGTTGAGATTTGTTTTACAAATGGTCTGTCTTGGTAACTGTTTCATGTAATTTTGAAAAGAATGTGTGTTCTTCTGTTGTTGGGCGAGTGTTCAATAAATGTCAGTTCGGTCAAGTAAATAAATGCTTAATACAGAAAGTTAGTAATAAGCAGAAGAACAATAAGGATATAATACATATAGAAAATAAATAGCAAAATGGCGGGCATAAATCCTAGCATATGAATAATTATATTACATGTAAATGGATTAAACACTCCAATGAAAAGGCAAAGGTTGTCAGACTGAATTTTCTTTTAAGAATCCAAATTAGAAGAAATGGACAAATTCCTAGGGGAAAAAAGTTACCGAAAGTCACAACAGCATCAAAAAGAATAAAATACTTAGGAATAAATTTAACAAAGGAATTGCAAGACTTGTACACTGAAAATCACAAAATATTTTTGAGAGACATTAAAGAGGTTCTAAAATACCTGCAGAGGCATTTCATGCCATAGATTGGAAAACCCAATATTGTTAAGATGTCAGTTCTCCCCAAATTTATCTATAGATTCGATGTAATCCCTATCAAAATTCCAGTAGTCTTTTTTCAGAAATTGCCATCCTGAAATGTATGTGGAAATACAAATTACCTAAAAGAGCCAAACAGTTTTGAAAAATAACAAATCATGTTTATTTTGATTAGGAAAAGAGCAGGAAATTAATAGTAACTTGTTGTGGTTGTAGATTATATGGTGAGAGTATTGTAGGGATTAGGGATGAGGTAGAAATCTTGAAGAGTAATAAGGTGAAGATTTGAAATACCCTTTGTGGGAAGTTGGAAAAGGAAGAGAGAACAGGGAAAAAAAATTGTCCTTCCCATTTCAGCACATGTAGTAAATGATATATTACATGTTGACTCACACAACTTCTCTCTTTATTCTAGGTAATGTTACAAATTATATATTGAAAAGTAAAGAGTGTCGTAATTTCTGCATGATTGCATTTTCCATTACGATTGAGCAAGACAAAACAGCTGTTACTATTTTGTTCAATAATGAGGCATACCATTCAGCTCCAACATCTCTGGCGGTGTTAGACAACATTCTTTTTATGTCACTTTCTGGCCCCAATGCTTCCATTACAATCACCAACAAGCCTCAACCTTTCCCTCTTTATAATATTAATATAGTGTATGTATGATTTTCCTTTTACTGGAATTGTAATTTATTATATTCCCTAGTTATCTGGCCAGTTACATTTGAAAATAACTACTGAAATCAGCTTTTTCTACTTTTATTTAATCTTCTGTAGGCCTACAAGTGGAATGCAAGTAGCATTAAGCTTGTCTTTTGGCATGGCTGTTCTGGCCAGTAGCTTTTGTCTTCAGACAATGACTGAGAAAATCACTAAGGTAAAGCAAATCCAATTTGTGAGTGGAGTCTATATTCTTACGTACTGGCTCTCTGCTTTGTTGTGGGATCTTATCTGCTACTCCATTCCCTGCTGCTTAATACTGGTGAGTGTTAGCTGAAGTTGCGTGAAGGCTCATTTTCCTTATGTCCCCACAGGAAGTTCGTGTTCAGCTAATTGTATCTTAGGATGAAGTTTGTCAAGAAATTTGAAGCTACTTTGGCTCATGCTAGAGAATATATTATGAAAGTCTAGTTACGGAAATATTCTTCCTCATATTCTTTCAATTGGAGAAAGTATTTTTTCTTATATTTTTCATGTATTTGCTCATCAATATGCCCCGTCCCAAAAACTGCTCTAAATGTGGAAAGGCTATTACTTGTCACCTGTCCATCACTCAGAGCCTTGGTGGTGCGGTGGTTAAGAGGTCGTCTGCTAACCAAAAGGTTGGCAGTTCAAACCCACCAGTAGCTCCTTAGAAACCTTATGGGGCAGTTCTACTCTGTCCTGTAGGGTCGCTATGAATCGGGATCGAGCTGACAGCAACAAGTTTTGTTTTTTTTGTTTTGTTTTGTTTTGTTTTTGTCCCTGTCTACTCACAGTAGCTAAGCCACTGCACACTAATTTGCTGAGCTCTCTGGTGAAAGTGGATAGGAGCACACAGCTTAGACTCAAGACCTGTGTGAGACTTCATGCTAATATTCACCCCTCATTTTCACACCCAGCATCCACAGTGGGTAGGTCTATAAAGCAGAACTAGTTTTGTCTCAGCCACTAAATTTTAGACACTGAGGAAATGGTATAGAGAGTGAACACGTAAGGATGTACAGCATCTTTTAACGTGATAATTTTGCTCATTAACCAACTATGGCAACTTCTTATATCTTGTATGCATGTTGTGTTGTGGGTGACAGAGGTGTGAAAGCTATATAGTTAAGAGTGATTTAAAAAAATGGGTAAAGAAGGTAAATTCCTTGCCCCACCATAGGTACTGGGGACATTAATATGATTAAGACAACGTATCAGCCTTTAAATTGTTCACAGTGGACATGGAGTCGTCATGAGTTGGAGCCAACTCAACGGCAACTAACAAGAACAACATAGGCTTGAAAACAGATCTTTATAAAATACCATGTTAATTGCTGTGAAGGGTGAACTGCTGATATCTAATCAAATTATGCCATGGAACAATAAAATTATTTTTTGGAGAATAAAGGAGAAAATTTTTGGTCAGTTTGTCTCCTACAAACATAAGAAAACTCATGATTATTGCACAGGAGCCCTAAAATTGGTTCTGAGGGAGAACCAAGATACCACGAGCTATTACAGCTGCTCAAGGGGAACCAGAGGCTGGGAGTTGTGGGGAAAGTGTTGGTGGCAGTAGTGTGGGGACATATAATGTATGCCCAAGGTAGAGAAAACAGAGCAGCACTTCGTTCTTATTGAACATACAAGACCATGACTGGGAGTCTCCAGGCCAGTCTCTTCTGCTCATAGCTTATCAATCAACTAGCATGGCAAGGGCAGACCACCATCCCTTGTGAGGCCCACTTCTCACATCTTTCACCACAGGAACTGGGAAAGCTGATCCAGGCACCATCTCTAGCTTTACTATCTCCTCTCCATATAGTGCAGTACTGGAATCAATCAGATGACCCTTGAATCTTTTTAATTTCCATGCCAGTGTTCCATTCTTTCTCTGGTTCTTTAAACTTGGCTAGCAATCCAACTATCATTTCCTGGTTAATAGATAAAAGAAAGCTGTAAATAAGAACATCCATTTTTAATACTTACACCAATATTGCCATTTATGGCTCATGAGAAAAGTTACTTGTTCTGTGTTTTTAATATAATATGCCATTCAAAGAGGAATCCTGGTGGCACAGTGGTTAAAGCACTTGGCTACTAACCAAAAAGGTCGATGGTTCAAACCTACCAGTCTCTGCGGGAGAAGGATGTGGCAGAGAAAGATTACAGCCTTGGAAACCCTATGGGGTAGTTCTGCTCTGTCCCATAGGGTCACTATGAGTTGAAATCAACTCAGCAGCAGTGGGTTTATGCCATTCAAATACCACAATAATTCTCTGAAGTGATTTTAACTGGTTATATTTGCAGGCCAGAAAACTGAGGTCCAGAGAAGGTAAGTTACTTACCCAAGTTCACCCAGCTAGTACATGTCACAACCCTTACTGGGATGACTCCAAAACCCATTGTCATTTTTACGTTCAAAATCAGCCTGGATGATGTACTTTCAACATATCTCTGCTCTCATATTTTCAGAATCTCCTGTTTTAGCATCTTACTCTGACTTTGTTATTGGCTTCTTCATCCTTTTGGTCTTTGGTATCTCTCTCCTCTCTACCCAAGATTCCCCTTAATGATTCTCAGGCTGGGGTTCTCCATATGGCTTCTTGGTTCTGCTTGCTTCTTTGACTTAGCCATCACCTTGTTGTTTTAAATGATAGGCTCCCTACCCCTGCTCTGGTTCTTGTGAAATGCCACCAGCTGGACTTGTTCTTGGACCAAACAAGAGAAGGGGTGATCATTAAGGTTGTGTGTCAACTTGGCTGGGCTATGATTCTCAGTGGTTTGGCAGTTATGGTGTAGTTTGACAGTCGTATGAAAGATATAATCACTTCCATGATGAGATCTGATGTAATGCGATCACCTCCATGATGAGCTCTGCTGTGAGTAGCCAATCAGTTGAAAGGGAGTTTCCTTGGTGGTGTGGCCTGTATCCAATTTAGGAGGACTTTCTGGCAAGGCTCACAGGCAACAGCTCTGAACCTGCAGCTCTGACCTCTGATTCTTGGGACTTGAGCTAGCAGCTTACCTGCTGATCTTGGAATTCATCATCCTCTACAGTCTGTGAGCCAGTGGCCTGCCAGCTTACCTGCCGATCTTGGGATTTGTAGGCCTCTGCATCCTGTGAGCCAGAGGCCTGTTGTTCGACCTGCTTATCTTGGGTTCGCAAGCCCCTGCACCTATGTGAGTCAGGAGAAGCCTCCAGCCTAACCCATGGACTTTGGACTTTGCAGCCTCTACGGCTGTGTGAGCCATTTCCTCGATAAAAATATCTCTCTCTCTCTGTATATACATATATATTGTATATATAGATGCTTCACTGGTTTTGCTTCTCTAGAAAACCCAGCCTAAGACAGTTGGTACCAAGAGTGATTCTAGAGAAACAAAATTGTGAGGATGAGTTTTCTAAATTGATTCTCAAGTCTGGTTAGCCTTAAAGATGTTGATGACTCTGCTTCCAGTAGTAAAGAGGGCACTGCTAATCCATGGCAACATTTGGCAATAGAAATACACAGTATATCACCACCAATAGATCAGGTATTGGCGAAAGGCAAGACACTGGGTGACCACATGTTTTGGTACCTTTCTACATTTTTGTCATAATGAAAAGTATAAGGAAGCTAGTTGGTTGGTCCTCCTTTCACTAGACAAAGTAGTGAAAGAAAGAGATGAGCTCAGGGCTTTAGAGTCAAAGTTCAAGCACTGCATAAATGACTTCAAAGTTTCTACTTGTGCCTTGAAAGAAAGCCTTGTTTCTTGTAGTAACCGAGCTGATATTGCCAAAAACCAAACCCAAAGCCTTACCATAAGAGTGGCTGAATTACAATGCCAACTAATTCCAACCTTGAGTGGTTTCTGAAGTTAAAGTGAGGACACTGATTGGGAAGAAATGAGATCCTACTACTTGGGATGGTGACATATGGACAGATAATCAGGAAGCTGGGAACACTGAACCCCTAAATTCCATTGAATCATTCCTGCCAACAGAACCAGCCCTCTCACTCCCATCTGAAGAGATTATTCCATCATTGTGTGCTAAGCCACCCTCCCCAGTAAAACCATTAGCCTCCCACCCCCATCTGATGAGATTAACCCCACTGTGTCTGAAGAGCCTTTGTCTGAGTTATTGCCTGAGGCGTCACCTGAGGGAGTTGCCTTACAAGACAATGCTGAATGTTCTCAAACACATCCCCACCACACATTTTGGCTTCTTGACCTATAACTAGACTTAAGTCCCATTGAGCCCCAAAAGGTAAAGTACAAGTGTGACCCAGGATGAGATACACTACACTCCAAAAGAACTGCTTGACTTTTCTAATATGTACAAACAGAAACCTGGGGAATATGTGTAGGAATATCTATTAAGCGTGTGGGATAATGGTGCAATGAACATAAAGATAGATCAGTCTGAGTTTATTGATATGGGCCCACTAAGCACAGATACTTCCTTCAGTGTTTTCACTCAAGAGGTTAGGAAAGGATCTAATAGTTTATTTGGTTGGATCGCTGAAGCATGGTTTACACAGTGGCCTGCACTAAATCAAGTTGAAGTAGACCAGACCCGCCTTTGTATACTATAGAAGAAGATATCCAAAGGCTTAGGGAAATTGGCATGCTGGAGTGGATTTATCAGGTTAGACCCACAGACCCCACATGGAGTGCCCAGAGGACACACCTTTTACCACAACAGTGAAGAACAAATTTGTGAAGGGAGCTCCAACATCCTTGAAGACTGCTGTGATTGCTATTTTGTATAAGTCAGATTTGACAGTGGGAACTGCCGTAACTGAATTAAGACACCTGACTACAATGGGGCTGATTGGATACCTTAGTGATAGGAGCCAAGTGGTGGCAATCAATTGACAAAGACAAGGTGGACATGGTTACCATAATGGACAGTGGAGTCAAAGCAGTAATCAGAATAGTCTGACTCCTATGGACTTACGTTGTTGGCTGCTTAGTCATGGTGTCCCTAAGAGTGAAATAGATATGAAATCTACTAAATATTTATTTGAACTGTACAAGCAGAAGAATTCTAGATCATGTGAACAGCAGTCTAACTTGAATTGCCAGAATAGAGAGTCACGACCCCTCAGTCATTTCCAGGTTTGAGTGAGTTTATAGACCCACAACCCCTTGAATGAAGGGAAGGGCTGGTCCCCTTGAGGATGGACCCTCACTACACTGCCAAAAATTTATACGGTTAGTCTTTCTCCCAGCCTTCCCCCAAAGAGATCTATGGCCTTTTACGAGAGTTACTGTTCACTGGGGAAAAGGAAATAATGAAACATTTCAGAGATT